TAGTACTATTCAAAAATAGCAACTTTGATATTGCTTAGATAGCATCATTTTGCTTACAATCTTTCTTTGAATGTGTGTATCGTGGAAAATCGGTCTGATTTGATTTAAACTGATTAGTTTAAATTTAATTCACTGATAGAAAACGAATATATTTTGGCAGGTAAGCAAATTGATAGCGTATAAAGGTTATGATAATGGTTTTTGCTGTATGATAACGTCCGTTTTCTCTAAATTTTTTGCAGCTTAAAATGCAGCATATATAATTGATGTTGTATTTGAGAATTTGATACATCTATTTCTCTTTTCATTTGATTTATAACGCCTTGTGGAATTGAGCACCTTTTTCTGTCTAAGAACGTAAAACATCATAAGTTGAGTCTGTTTTTTGGAATTTCGGCAATAATGCATAATGAAGAAAGGGATATGCTAGGTCATCTTTAAGATATGCACTAAAATTGTTGCCAGTAACGGTTTATGGATGCATTGGCTGTTAGATTGGTTGACATATTGATAGATTGTCTAGTACTGTGCTTACAGTTTTCTAGCATTTCTTGTTATCTTTCGAAGACGATTATTTTTATTTGTAATTGATTGGGATTACCATCACTGTTGTCAGTACTTACTTATTCAAATTGCGTTTTTTAGATTTAGATTTCTTTCATCAGTTTTAATTTGGAAAGTTTGAGTTTAAAAAAAATCATTAATTGCAAAAGAGAAAAAAGTAGCAGAAAATTTGTTTGATTGATAAGGCTAAGAATATAAAAAAGTTGATCGGTGCAGTATTGTGTGGCGAGAATAGAAGAAGAAGATTAGTTGTGAATATTGTTTGGTGGTGGCTCATTTTCTTGCTGATAATATATATTTTTCGATGCATTTTTAAAGAGGGTAATAATTTGTGATCTTTGAGAACGTTCAACTTCAATGCAAGGTCATTTTTGCATTAATTTGAGAGATGTTATCATAGTTTCACTTAGCCTTACTTCGCTTTAGCTCTCATAAATCTCTTTATATCCTAAGCAATATTCATGCTTCCATACTTATTAACAATGTAAGGTAATGGGCTTGCAAAGTCATTTTCTACAAAATTTGTTTAAACTTTTTGTTGATTAGTTAGTTACTGATGTTTAATTTCCGAGAGTATTTGGTTTTCTTATTTGTTTAATCAGAATAATTGCATTAATTTATAGGTGCTAGAATGATGCTCCAATCTCTATCGTGACAAATAATACTACTCTTATTAATTATGGTGAATAAGTTAGTAATCAGTTGGTATCTGTAATTTTTGTTGGTCAGTACATGGCAGTGTGATGATACAGTTTGCTCATTTTTCGCTCTGTTTTTCCTCTTATATTATAATAGTATGCAAAATTTGTTTGCATCGACATAAATGTTTGCAATTCTTCTTTCACTAATGTTAGAAAATATTATATTGAAGTGTAAAAATATTTGTATCTAGCACATGCGACTTGTTTATTTTCAATACATTCTCCATGACATTTTAAATGGGCAGAAATGTTGTTAAAATGCTTCTATGTCATGCAAGTGTTTCATGGATCTATTCTTCATGTAATGGGTGAATAGCAGTGGCGGTGGAATGAAAGAGCTTCGATTTTTAGATTGAGAAGATTTCTAAGTTTAATAGCAGAAAGCTGATTTATTCATTTTGTCAAGTATTTTTTTTCTTTTTTTGAGGAGCATTCTTGATTTGAAAGTGCTCATGCAACGGGTTTTATTTATACTAAACAAGATCCGAGATATTTCATTGTGCTCTCAATGGACGAATTTCTTAAAAAGTGTTTATTCAATTAAATTACTGAGAGATTTGATCCATTCTTGCGATCATTTATGAATGAATATTTTGAGCTGTTGTGAGCAAATCGAGTTAATATCTGCATCATCTCCTTCAAAAATAAATTATTATTATTCATTTTACTGATTGGTTTCATAGCCTTTGTTTGAATGTATTTTGACTTACATCGGATTTTCTCTGTTTACTGCACTCACTTTATATTATTAATTCATGTCTGCAGTAGTGACGATCTGTGCACTCTAATAATTATTCTCAAATGGTTCAATTCACAGCTTATCGATCCGATGAGAATTAGATTCACCATAATACTAATGTCCCATCGTTTTGGATGTGTCGTGTCTTGAAATAAAAAGGATATTAAATTATTTTTGAACTTGTGTGGTGTAATTATGCTAGAAGTTGCTATTAATGAAAGTGATATTAGCATCACATTTATCTCGCAATTGAGAGTGTCATATCATTTACGTTGTTAATTATTTCCATCTATATCTTCTGCATTTTTAATTACTTATTCATATTTTTATGATTTTTTCTTTCTAATTGCAAAAATGAGAAGAAATAGAAGAGAGAAGTTTAGTCTGCAAGCCAGTGAGCTAATCAGTACTAGACTCATGTTTCAGCATGAATATTCCTGTCGTAATTATTTTTATTATTTTAGTTTGCTTCATTTCTTTGCTATTCTATTTCATAGACTCTAACTACAAATATGACGGTATCCTTATCTGCTTCTCAAATTTTGTTCAATAATATTTCATCAGTAACTGCTCGTTTTATTAATGCTTTGCTTCGTTTACTGTCCATCTCCATGAAGTTGTACTTCGAATTGGGTGATCTAATTCAGTGCAAGCAAAACTAGTTTATTACTATATTTCAATATACGTTTTTTTGTTGCTTAAAAATCTAAAAAATTCGTCCGTGATATATAAGTATTTTACTATAACTTTTACAAACTTGCTAATTTCTTTTATTTTTTTTCAGGAGTGAATAAAGTGGATTAAACTCTCGGATTATTTTGATATATCCGGTGAGTAGCACGCTTGGAAGTAGTCACCAGTAATTTAATCTTGTTATCTAATAGTTTATAAAAAATGAGCGATGATGTCTACGTTGTGGTCAAGTATGACTATGATGCACAAGAGGAAGGTGAATTGACAATCAAGAAGAATGAAAGGCTCAAGTTAATTGACGATACCAAAAATTGGTGGAAAGTAAGCTATTTATTCAATCGAGGAAAGTTAAAAACAAAGAAAAATCTCATCTTTAACGAAGTTCTTTATATTTAGATATCTTTATTATTTTTTAAGAATAAACAATAGTGTGGAAGGGTAATGAAAATACTGTAATGATTGATAGTAATATGATTTTTATCAAAATTAATTGTGATAGGAATATATTTTTCCTCGAAGCAAAGAGAAGTTATGATCTACACTTTTTTTAGAAGACTATTTAAGATATGGAAAGTTGATTTTGTTTTTTTTTGCTGAGATATCGTATGCATTTGGTCTATAATTTACAGCCATCTTTTTTTTGTCGTGAAGTATACTGTCTGCTTTGCAGAAACTCCCCACCCTGCATATTTTTGCTCATCAATTGGAATCATTTCCTCGCATTGAAATAGAACAATTTTTGTACTGATATTGGAACCTAAAATTCACTTATTTAGCATCATTGCTTTTGTACTTAGATTTATTATTTATTGCAAGCAGAGTTTGTTTTTAGAGTTGTCAGTCGAAAAATCAGATCTTTTATTTGAGAAAGTTTTTTTTATTTCTGTATTTTTCATGTTTTACTTGACTAAACGACACACGTTTTAACTTTTGTAACATAATGTGTACATTGTTAATGACACTGTGATCAGGGATGTAATTTTTTCAGCTTTTTGACTTTGACAATCGTAATGGGTTTGTTAAGTTGATTTGAGATTTTATTTTATCACTAAAAAACTTATTATTTTAAGGAATATTGCTTGCAAGTAATATCAAGTCATTTATGAAACTGTTTAGTCAGGTTTGTAGTTATTTATATACCTATTAAAATCCATTTGTGAGAAGAACAAATCGTTTATTTTACATTGATTTAATGATGAAGTATCCTTCATCTGTAAAGTTGTTAATCGTCTTAATATTTTTAGAAAATCTAAGTTAAAAATACTTCTATTAATTTTAAGAACGATGGAACAGAACACTGATATGATTTGAGATGATTGCAGGTCGTTAATGAAGAGGGTGTATTTGGTTTTGTTCCATCGAATTATGTCCGCAAAGAGTCATTTGTAGAAAAGGCAAAAGGGACTATTAAAGGGTTCGGAAGAACAAGATCAAGAAATAAATTAGGTGATTTTACCCAGGTAAATTTAATGTAATTTGAAATATTGAGTTTATTGACGAAAATGTTGTTCTTGTTCTTGAACACAAACTAGCCCTGATAGTTTCCAGTAACATATAACGAATGTCTCATGTACACTTTTTCAGCAACACTTGAGTCAATAAATTTTCGTGTCTACGCACATTGAGTAGTAGTAGTCTTTTAACATTCTTTTCTTTCTTGTCAATCTTTAGGAAATTGCTCAGTCTTTTGGTGATAAAAATTATTGCTCTTTTCCGATTCGTAGTGTATTGAAAGTTCGTCATTGATGTGCTTTGCAGGCTTCGTCTTCAGAGCTCATTATTAGTCGCCCGGCATTGGCTGCTGTTTCGGGAAATGGTAGTTTCGAAAATGGTTTCAGCAGATCAGTCAAAGTATCGGTCTTTCTAATTCGTAACTATAAATTTTGGTTTAAGCATTACAGTGAAACGCTTTGTATGGAGGGTTATTTGATTAGTCATCAAAACGTGGCTGTGAAGGAATCTGTTTTATAGTTTTTAAACTTCATTCCGTAAAAAAGTTGCACTTTTCATTTCTTGCAAGAGAAAGTTCAAAATAATTCTCTTCTTCCAAAGAAATAAATTAAATTCTCGTAGGTTGGCAGGGTAATGTCGCAGGCCGTAGTAAAATATTCATATGAACCTCAGCGAGAAGACGAATTGAGGTTATGCAAAGGTGACGTGGTTACTGTGTTGGAAAAAAGCTCTGATGGTTGGTGGAAAGGAAAGGTAGTTAAAATTGATTATGAGAATTTACCATCTTGTAGTAAGATAAGTGCAGAGAGTCTGTGTTGAATGTTCAAACTTTGGTGAATCATCATCTCCTATGTTGTAAAATTCTACCATTCAATAATTTTATTCATTTAAAATTAAAGTTTGAAACAGATATTGTTGGAGATGACTAAGAAAAATTTTGTTTTTATATTTTTAGCATCTATGTGATTGTTTACGTTAAGGATGTTTATCATCAAGGTAGTTGCTGCTTTGAATCCAAAATATACATGGTGAAGCGGTAATTATAGTAAAACTTTAACTAGTAATAGTTACGTTTCAGTGCAGGGAACAAATGGGATGGTTCCCTTCGAATTATATTGACGAATCTCCTCCAAACACTTTCCCACCACCCAAAAACAGTACTGAATTAGGGAACAGTTTCGGCAAAGTTTGTATTATTGTCGTTCTTCCTTCCACAGATTTTTTATTTTGCAGCATACTTCTTGAGTGTTTTTTTTTGTTTTGAAAATGGGAAAAAATTATGCTGTGCTATGTTACAGCCTCATAATGGACTCATTTTGTCGCCTTTGCAAAGGGTTCTTGAAGTAGTTGTTGCATTGTACTCATTTGAAGCTCAAAATACAGAAGAATTATCGTTCCAGAAGGGTATCTTTTCTATCTCAAGAATTCAAAAACTTCGCAATTTTTACTCTTCAAAAGCACATAGCTAAAATTTCAGTTTGTGTATTTCAAAAGAGCTTGAAAACGAAGATGCAAATTTTATAAAGTGATTGTTTTTATCTACTGTTGATATAAGATTAAAAATTACCAAGAAGCTTTAATTATTTTCGTTAACCTAAAAATGAATTTTCCGTTTAAGAATGAAAAATTTCTGAATTATAAAATAGATCAGTTTTGTTTATGTCGTTAAATATTTTCAAATTTTATTGCAGTTCTTTTGACATAATTTTGAAAAGCAAGAAAACTTTCAGGTGAGCGGCTGGAAATTATCGACCACCCAGCTCATGATCCTGAATGGTGGAAAGCTCGGAATGAAAAAGGATGTACTGGACTTGTTCCTACAAATTATATTGAGGTTAATTGACAATTGTTTTTTATTTTTAAAATTCAGTTTTCATGATTTAAATTTGGTGTTCATCGGTTACTAACATTGGCAGGTAACGTTTTGAATATATTTTCTGTAGGTGGTAGAGTCGGACCCAGATCCAAGCGTGAATCATTTTATTTTTCCATCCTCAGAGCAAAGAATTAAGACATCAAGTAGTAATGGAACTTCAGTAATTGGAAACAGCAGGTCAATTTTCTAACTTCATGTTTGTCAATTGTAAATTTGCCCTTTATTTATCAATTTTGTGTTCTTTTTGTTCTCATATCCTTATGGTGTCATATATATGTGTGGATAAAAATGTTTTATCAGAAAAGGCATGAAAATTATCAATTCCAATTTTTATTTCAGGGTAGAAAAGCATTAAATTGGTTGTTTTTTTATATAGTCAAATCTTGCAATGATGTATATTTATTTTTTGTTACAAATTTTTTAACTGTTTGCATTGTGAGTTATTGTGTGTAAGCATAATTTACCAAGTATACTTTGGCTAATTTATGAAGTTTAAAACTTGGATGGGAATTCTTTGCAGCAGTTACAGGCTCACTGGACCATATGCCAATCAACCGTGGTATTATGGTAGATTGCCTCGAGATGAAACTGATGCATTATTGAATGCTCGTGGGATTGATGGTGACTTTTTGGTCAGAGATAGCGAAAGTAATGTAAGTAGACATACTTTTTGATTTGTCAACCTTTATTTCTGTCAATATTAGTGATTGAAATGTTTGAGTAAACACTTTCAGTTGTTTTCTGTGAAAGATGCTAAGATGCTTGCTCATCTCTGATCATTTTTTTCTCAATCATGTTTGAAAAATGACGGGAATAATATCTCATGTCATATGCTTTTTTGTTTCATTATTGACTAACAATCATGTTCAGCCGGGTGACTACTCGATATCGTTGAAAGCATCAAGCCGCAACAAGCATTTTTGGGTTCAGGTGGATACGACAAATAAATCTTTTAAAATAGGTACACGAACGTTTGTAACAATGGATGACTTATTGAAACATTATATGGCAAGTCCAATTTATACGAACGATAAGACCAGTGAGAGATTGTTTTTGATCAAACCCTTGCCAAGATGAACAGGTAGTAAATATGTTACGGTGTATTATTCCTCTAATCGACGGGTGCTAACAGTACTTGCCAAATTTGATCGCTTACAGCAACTTCGTTATAGTGCATTGTATCAACATTCCGTCTTGCAAGGTTTTCTTGGTAGAAATTATTCGCTTATATAATTCATGTTACTCATGTAATATATCAATATTTTATACAGGCAGTTGTGTCATTTCATGTCTTTATGTGCTGTAATGAGGAGTTGAGGAGTCATTATTAAGGAGCGTCATGTTTTTATCTTTGCATGATTTTTATCCCCTGGAGCATTTAATTACGTTTATTTCTAAATCTTTCATGTGTTATTTCAATTTTTATGATTCAGAGAAAAAAATTCGTTCTTAGAAAACAGAGTGCACATTATTTTGTTTAATTAGAAACTATGTGAATTTTTTTCTTCCATCTTATTCGATATACTTATTTTTTTATGTAATATTTGGTAATTTCTCATACACGTGGGCGTTCCTGCTTACTAAATGCATGCATTTACTTTTTTCATGTCTAATTTTCTTGTCCATATTGACCAAAAGCTGTTATTTTTTGACTTTTGTACATGTTATGGCTAAGATTTATTAAGAAAAAGCTTGTACGCATATTAATCATTTGCAACTTGACTGGGTTTTTAATTTGCCGTATAACGTAATTTGTTGATATAGTTGCTTTATCATATTCTCTGGAAATGGTAAATGAAATGACCACATACGCAGTATTGAAATGAAAACTTTATAATTAATTATTCATCAATGATATATGCTCTCTAAGTCGTTCTATTTACAGGCTATTTCTAATAATTGCTGGATATATTTGTAATTACGAAAAAAATTCTGCTTGTCGTAATGACCATTTGCATTTAAAAGAATATTGTAAATGGACATCTCTTAAAGACACATCTTTTTTATTTTCTTTGAAGAGGAAGAAAGTAAAGTTGTATTCACGAATTGTCTCACTTAAATTTGCGTATTGTTCTAATCTCAAGACTACAAGTGGTTTTTTCCTATCTATGCATTCTATGAATCTATTAAAAACAATCATATTACCAGATTGATAAGTACGAATAAAAATTTTGCTGTAATCACATCTCACGTATCCCGCTGTGATGACAGTACATTATAACATTCCAATTGTACAGACAGGTAGCGTCTTCTCTCGTGATTTCTTCTAAGGCAGTTCCTGACGGGTCACACATTCGCAGGCACCGACTACCTACCTGTGATTTCATGCATTGCACATCACTTTATCTTCGTGTTATAGGGATGGAATCAGGGATTGCAAGTAAACATTACTGTTTTTCGTTTATAAAAGTACGATGATTTAATTACCTGAAGCTGTGGATCATTTAGATTGAGGTGAGCACAACACTTCCTGTTGTCGCGATTTTGTGATGCACAGTACAAAATCCTGGACAAGAATTTCAAATCGCACTTCTTTTCACTTAACATTGAAATTAACTGAAATTTGGAACTGATTAGGATTATGCATACATGCGAAGTTTATTGTAGAAAATTGTATTTCGAGTATGAGAAAGTCCCGAATTTCTTTTTTCTTTGAAAATTTGGATTTACGTATAATTACTTTCAGTTCTTATGTATGCATACAATGTGTTCCAAATAGATCATTTTGGCCTATATAAGGAAGGAGTCATTTTAATCTATGTGTGCCTTTCGAGAGATATTTAAGTGTAACTTATAGCGAACTTTATTCTTACACGTAAGTCAACTTATTTTAGATTAGGCTATGGTTTTTCTCAAAAAAATATGTTAGGCTTGGATTTTGTTATTCATGATTGCTTAAAATATAACAAAGTTCACCGCTGTGAAGTAATAAGTTGAGATTGAATGTTGTAGGTCAGAAGAAAGTTTTCGAAGGAAAATTAGGTATTATCGAATGTATCAAAAATGCTAGTACCATTTTACGTGTAGTACTCTGATTAGTTTCATAAGTACACAATGAATGGCATTCTTTCGGAAGATAAATATTACAGCACGATTTAAATAACTTATCAGCAACTACTCGGCTAGCACACGGCTTGTAACCCAATTCAGCAGTACCACAAAGGGGCTGAAAGAGTGAGCAGTATGTAGTGGTAATTGCTAGCTGACAACGCGCTCATCAGTAGCTATTTTCGGTAATTGCATTTTAGTTGGAAGAGATTGTGTCTTGAAGCAAGTTACTGTGTAGAAATGTGTTTATTTTATTTAAGGATAAAGAAAGCTTTTTTCTTTTTTCAATCACAACAAAGATGGTTCTGCGCAGAAAAATTTGAAAATTGTACCAATAAATCGCCACCAAATGCTGAATTCGGAGACCGACGTATATCATTTTGTGGTCTTATAGTACGCTTAAACATGATCACTTTCCGCTCAGGACAATTTGCTAGAATGTGTTTGAAGCAGTGCTTTGGAACACAATATGGTGACCACCGCAGAAAGCAACATTCTGATGTTGGGATGAATGGACATTCTATCCGCTACAGGCAAAAATATTACTTTTTTAAGGTGCAAAAAAACGAAAGAAAAGAATTAATTGTTCAATTTTCGTCTTAGTTGTATTTTGCTGAAAAATTTTGCAAAAATAGAATTTTTATGAAAGGAAAAAAGGGAAAGTTTCAAACCTGTTGTTGAACAGTTGTAGGTAAAATGAGTGAAAATAGTGATAACAATCGCCAGAGCATATTGGAGAAGATCCGCGAATTCGCTATAAACAAATTTGTTAGAGATAAATTATTAACCTTTGACGTTTTTAAGAATTTGGTTAGGTTCCGAAGAAATACTTTGTCTAAAGTCCGGATTCCTCGCTCAGTATCGTTGTTTTGAGATTTTTCATCATCAAATATTACAACTAACTGAGATGCTATAATCATTATTTATTTATTTATCCTTGTCAATTTAAAGTAAATTTTAGTATGAATTTTGATTATCATAATAATTAGTACCGAATTATATACTAAAAGATAAGAAATTAAAAATAGAGCAGTTAATTTGTCAGTTATTTGAAATGAATATAAACAAAATTTTCACTAAAGTTGAGAAGATCTTTAATTTTGAAATAATAACGAAAACAAGTGCCAGGACACAACATTCTTAAGCGTAAGTCTAAGTCTAATTTCCATAATCCAAAAATGGAGAAAAATTATTTTCCAAATTACGCTTATGCAAATATCTCTATTTTTCGTTAACATATACTATACAATAATTCTTTCTTCAAAGAAATTGATCTAAGAGAATTTTAAACCGATTTAACGCTTAAACCGATCAAAAAATAGTAAGCGGATCTAAAGCATAAAATCTTCTTTTACTTAAAACATGGAAATACGATTTTTGAATGTTTTATAAGATTTTAACTCAGCTCATTTTTAGTTTAAAATTTTAGGACAGAAATGACGAATAGCAATTATGATGATTGTATAGAATACAATTTTTAAAATGTGAAGAAAAAAGTTGATAAGTCATAATATAATAATTACAATAATAGCAATAAACTAAATCTTAAAGTTGTGATTTTCGCCATGAGAGAGAGTTTTGGAGTATTCTCATATTTAGTTACATTTCAGCGACAGTAAAAAATAAACTTTAAAGTTTGATGTAGTTATCAACAAAAGTTTATGCGAAAGATAAAAGTTGTGATACTAATTAGTAGTAATTAATGCTTTTAAAAATGAATTAAAGTAAAAAGTAGGTAAGTTTTATATTATATTTTATTGTATTAAATTTACCAAGAAAATGATAAGTTAAAAAGAGCAAGTAGAAGAGTAATGTGATTAACAAATTTTGCCTGGATTCATATTATGAATGGTGGAAACAGAACGAATACTCACAATAGTAATTTCATGACAAAAACTTCATTGTCCCGCCCGTAATACCACCTTGCGCATTGCCATGCATACATTTTGAACAATTTCTTTCAGATCAAACTTTATCTTCAAATTATTGAAGTTCTTTTTTGCTATTTATTGTATTTTGAATAAGAATTAATTCTATTATAAAATTTAGTTCATCTTTTATTGTCAAATATTTTATTTTCATCTTAAAAAATTATTTTATATTTATTTTGCGTTTACTAAATTTTAACTAGCACAGAATTTTTTGCTATTTTCCAATGATATATATGTATTGTAAATTTATTTACAGCAAAAATTTTATTCAAAACAATGCATTATTCACTAACAAATAGAGCAATAGATATAATACATATGAATATTTCATTTTTTAATCCTTCTCTACATGAAACAAACGCATTAATATTTATTGTATATACAAGTAGAAACCTTCAGCAACTATCACAAATCTATCCATAAATGAAATAAAAATATCACTAAATAATTTAAGAAGTAGAGAAAAAAATGAATAAGATACAGTAATAGGATATATTTTTTGTTAAAATTTTTAGCAATTAAGATTGTACGATAAAATTATGCTAGCCTAATTAGAAGTGCATTAAACAAGGATTGATAAAGTCATGAACAACAATCATATAAAGTTAATGACAACAATTGCTGAAACCCGCAAAAACTGTCTTCGGTATATTACACTGAACTGATTATAACTGAGAAATTTTAAAAAGTTTAGGTAAAAATACTCCGAAAAAAAACCGAAGAAATCCGTTTGTATTGTAAATGTTATCGAGCAATCATAGTTTTAAAAGTAACTAATGAATGTTATCTAAAAAATAAGGATAGATAAATGGTGGTTTTACCAAAAATAATTATTTAAATATTCAATAAGATTTAATTTGTCATTTTTGAAGAAAAGAAGTAATAAAAAACAATGGGAAATAATTTAAATATTAATAGAAAGGTATAAAAGAAAAGGTGGAAAGATTGCACAATTGTGCATAATCACAAATTCATTTTGTAAATTAACGTAGAATAAAATTCAAAAATAAATGGAAAAATTTGCCTGTACATTAAGACAAGATTAATGAAAAGAAAAAATAAGTACAGAACATTATTCTATTCGTTTGATTCCGTTGCTTGTCCGTCAGTAGGATCCATTTCACGTTGGTTCACGGGATGACAAGGCGTTTGATTTATCGAAGATGAAATTTTACGATAGCAATTAGCATCAGTCAAACATTCTGGTAATGCTCCCAGAATTGCTGGTAAGACGATAAGTCCATGTAATAAGCCCCATGAAACCACCAAAATAATCGTTTTGAAAAATACCATTGGGGAATAACTCTGAAATGCATAATCAAAAAACAAATTCTACGCTCTTCTAAAGCTTTTCTCAGTAAACTTTTTCAGTAACCAAAAATTTTTTTGCATAATTAAATTATTAAAATGTTTTTTATTTTGTATTGGAAGTAATCGTACAAAAAGTATTCGCAAATGTAGAAGAATACATTCTTTATAGTATAGTTTACTAGCTTTAAAATAACTCAAACAAAATTAACACGTATTTTTCCATTCTTTTATTTAAATTAAACTTTTTATATATTCCAAAAAAAAAGTAAAATAAAATGATTACTTGTAAAAACACCAGTGGTAGGACACACATGATTGTTGATGCACCTGCTTGTATCATTGGCCAGCCAACACTTTGCAGAGTATGTTCAAGTTTTTCCTGTGTTCCTTGAATTGCAATTTTTACAATTTTGTTGTTTCGAATCTCCCGCCGATTTTTTAGCTGTAAAACGAAACAATTTAAATGAATAAAATTAAACTTTTTAACTTAAACTGCAGTAATTTTTATAATAAGAAATATGAGGTAAGCTTAATACGATACATAGGCAGTATAAAATATGGAAACTATTTGACATGAAAATATTTCAATTTATTTGAATACATTTGAAAATTATTACTTGATGATGATAGGATACATGGGCAGTGAAATCAACTGATAAACCGATAGACATGAGAACGGCAGCTGTTGTTACAGGGTCAAGGTCAAAGTGCCACCAGGAGAGGAAGCCAAATACACCTGGCAAAGTAATCTTGAAGTGAACTTTTTTAGTTTACTGCAAACTTCTTGACTAAAGAAGGGCAGGAATAATGCGTTAATCCTTCAAATAAGCATCAAATACTGTACCAACAACTAACAGTACATATGCAAATTATGACTGCGACTTTTTTGTTGCACTTCAGTATATTTAAAAATAATTCTGATATAATGCAGAAATTAAGATAAATTATTCTATACTTGCGCCTTTTTAAATCAACAATTTGTGAATATTTTCAGTTTACTGAAAATCCCCCCAAGTGCAACAAAAAAGTCACAGTGAAAATTTTTGGCAAGTGTTATCTACTAATTAATTATAATGTACTCTATAATTAAAAATTACCGAAGAAATAATAAACTTTGACCTCTCAGATAGTAGTATTTCTTCTCATTAGACAGGATTTGAATTACACACGCAGATCTTAACAGTTGAAAATAAAGAAACCTCAATTACCTAAACTTATTGATGCTATTGCGATAGAAGCTGTAATAACACTGCAAGGATTTGGAATAAATATAGCACAGACAACAGTCATGCAAATTAAGGTTAATGTGCCAGTCTGTAATCATTTGATAAATTATAATAGCATTCACAAAATTAATTATTCATCTTAATATTCACTCAAACAAAACCATTTTGTAAAAATAAAACTTAACAAAATTTGTTCGAAACAACTGAAGTCACTTAATACTACAATAATTCGGAAATATTCAGTTAGAAAAATATTTTATAATATATTTTATGCTTTCAAAAGTAGTAAACGAAAAATCAAATATATAATCATTAATTACTGATAATTAATTAAATAATCTACAGTGCAGTCTAACCTGAATGGCGACTGTTTTCAAGCTAAGCATTTGATCTACAAACATTCCATTTGCTTCCCAAACTGTCACATTTAAATCCTTAAAACAATAGCGAAAAAAAACTAAGATTTGCGAAGTTTTACAAAATAATTAAAAAGTATTTTCAATTTTGCATGAATAAACTGTATACTTTGTAATTTTCAGCAATTTGGCGCCATTTTTGCATTAAATCAATTCGTACTTCCCAAGTAGAAGTATTCTGATAAGCTACTAAAAACCAAAAGCGATTTACCCGAAGACTACCATCTCTGCAATTACTCGTATTTTATTTGTCTAAGATTAATTTAATTTTCATGCAAAAAAAAAAAAAAAAAAAAAAAACAGGAATGTAAAATATTAACTAAAATAAAATATTATAAAAAGTATTACGGTGCTTTTGTTACTCTGACACACGTATTCCAATGACTGTAAAATGGTGACTCGAGAAAAGCGTCTAATTTGTCGAAGTCAAGACCAGTTTCAGTTGGAGCAATGTTTTTTGCAGTTGTATTATTATCTGCCAAACCCAAAATATACCAAAATATTGAAGTCATATCACCGCTTTCATAAAACGCTTGATAATCTCGAAGCCATAATAAAGTTGAAATATTTCCTGAAGGCAAAAAAATATTCTCAAACAATTTTTTAATCCTTTTTTCTTTTTTGCAAATTGCTCACTACCATAAATATTAGCTGATTTACTTACCTCTACAACCTGGCAAACTTTCAAACTCATCAACAAGTTGCCAAAACCGATTCATTGCTTGTTGCTTTCGAATATCCAATGGGTTATTTACAAGTACAGTCACTGGATGATACTCAGCCCATACTAAAAATGTTTAAATTCCAAGGATTACTGCTCATCAGAGTGCAAAAATGATTAATTAATTAGACTAAAAAGTGAAAAATTATTAGATTAATTAATTTCAAGCTAAATAAAACAATCGGTTTTATACGTTTCTTATTTATAAGTCAGAAGTTTAATTATTGATGAATGAGTAAAAATATTGAAACAATTATGACAAAAACGGTAATAAAGACTGAGAAGAATGCAAACATACTTATTTCACTTAATATTCGATTTGGTGCTTGTAAAGGGGAATCTTGAGGTAGAATCTTCACCGTATCCAGCCTGGTTCTTATATTCAGTGCTCCAATGATTGCAAAATACCAGTAAACAATCACAGCAATCATTAAAAATGCCGTAAAGAAACGATGCCCGAGAACTCGACAATACATTTTCAGAACCCATCTCGAAAAATTGTGAATCTAAGTAATATTAATTACCAAACTTAATTTAAAATTTAAATTAAAAACTTTATAATCTGAAATGCTATAAAATCTACAAAAAATTCTATACATTCGAAATGCAAAAAAAAAAAATTTTTGTAATACTTTAAATTTGTACCGTACTCATTTTTCTTCTTTCAGTAAGAATTTGAATGTTTATTTTACTCATTAAATTTATTAAAAGTTTATTTTTTTGAAAATTTATTTGTCCAAGACAGGATTACTTTTTATAGACTTTTTTTAAAAATATTGTTATAACAGAAACTATCAGTGCAGTAATTAATGGTCTTTCAAATTATGCAGATGGTCATTGTTAATGGAACAAAACTAATAATCAAATAAACTTTAATTTATTCAGTAATTATGTGGAGATGAGCAATATCTGAATATGCAATTTCTATAGTTCAACATGACTTTAATTACTACCTTTAATTTTATTATTACTACCTTAATTGTATTATTACTACCTGCATACGCCATCCAGTAAGAGACGTATTTGGCACAAACGTGGAATTTGAATGTTTTTTTCCACGTTTTTCGCAATGAGTGGCAAGTGCCAAAATTGGTCCAAACAAAATTAATTCATATAAATAGTCTAATCCCATTGCAATTGCTGTTGTCATACAAAACAATCGTATTTCTGAATCAGACAAAATTCAATTTCAAAAATAATTTAAATTTCATTATCTTAGTACTATCTTGACTTTGATAATCGATAGAATATCATTTTTCCTTTAGAAAATACAGAATAGGTGAAAAATGCTCAGTTATGATGCAAATATTAAACATTATAAAAGCTAAAAATATCAACTGCAGTGATAAAAGTCACAAAATACGTCATCATTGATATATGGTGATAGAAAATCAAATAGCTTTAACTTACATTACTAAAACACGTCATAAATGAAGACTGAGAAAAACGTAATACAGTACCTGGCGTGGGAGTGAGAGCACCAATACCAAAAGAAATAAAGTTAGTAAGCGACGTAATAGTTATAGAGGGACCAACTTCTTCGAAAACTAATCCAAGACGTAAACTAGCGCTATTTGTATGTAATGCTAAACGTTGCCATGAATGAATCATAAGAAATGCATCATCAACACCTGAAAAACTGTAAGACTTAGGTAAGTCAGTTTATTGAATAAAATTTTACTCACGTAAATAAGATTTAAAATTTAAGAATTTCACTCTAAAAAAAGTTATATTTTTAAAATTTTATATTTTAATTCGAATAGTTGCAAATTTTTATAGTAATGATTATATTGACGAAAAATTTCCAGACAGCTTAATGCATTGAATTCACTTCAATATTATAACTTTGAAGCTGATAATTCCTCCAACAAATTAAACTAAAAACGTTATAACTTTTGAGAGATTTATTTGTTCAATGACAAGCTTAAAATATAATTATTGTAAGAGCTGTAGAATGAATTTTTAGCATAAATTTATGCACCAAACTGACAAATACAAAAAAAAGTTCGTCTTGTTAATAAATTCAAGAGAATAACTTTGAAAGCTAAAAACTAAAATAGGACAGAAAAGTAGCAGTAAATGTATAGCTAACCAATGCCCATAATTAGAAATGGCATAACAAGCATAAAGGAGTTAGTTCTAGTCCCAAAAAGAGATATAAGACCGTAAGTTGAAGTAATGGAAAGGATTGGGCACAAAATTGAGCCAAAAGCTATTAAGGCTTTGCCCCAATCCATCGCATCATAAAAAATTGCACTCCAAAGAACTGTAGTGGTCACAAAAAACATCATGAAACCAAAACCTGAACATTTAATATTCAAATTTAAGTGTGAAAGTAATATACGCAAAAAGTTGAACTGCTGCATGACAATGTCTGTCTATGAATGCAAGTAAAATTAGCAAAAATAAAGCAATTAAGTACTTAAATTAAGCGAATATAAGAATTAAATGCATTATTTTAAAGCATATTTTGAGGATTTATTAACAACTTTTCTCACAGTTAATAACTTTGTAATATTTAGAAAAAGTATAATCAAAAGACGACAATTTGTCTGAATGTATACATCAGTTTAGTAATATTAAAAAATAAATAAAACCAATGAAATCTTTAAATTAAGTTTAATTAATAAATTGGAAAATATACCAGCTGCAAAGAAAGGTGTCAACTTCTGTCCATCCTTGATCATTTCTTGATCGAGAATTTCAGTACCCATCACCTAATATTTCTTTTTTTGAAATATTATGATTTCACACATCATTTTTTTCCGAACTTTAAAAAAAAGCAAATATCACTTCTTGTACACGAATTTAAGCTTTATTTAAAAAAGTACTTAATAACTGCATTAAAAATTTTTTTCAAAAATTTGAAAATAAATTTGTAAAAACTATTAAATTTTGTTTTAAGCACAACCTGAATATCTATTAAATTATTTTTGTAATGCTTTCGGGCAAATTCAAATACAGAAAGTTCCCATAATGTCAGCTTTTTTTCCATTTCAGGTGATGAGCGATCAGCGCGATATAATGTCAAAATTACCTGTAAATGGAGAGAAATGTTTGAGCTATTTTTTTATTTTCAAATTTATTATACATTTTAATAAATAAATATTACAGCAACAGCAAAATTTCTAGTTGTATCATAGTAATTTTTTAAAAAAATTTTTAAAAGTTAACTTACTTTAACGAATTTTAAATTTGAAAGCAACTCTGCGTAAGATGTATTTATTGGTAGTTTATCGACCGTAATATTTTGTCCAACAAATGCATCTTTATCTGGTAAATCTTTGAGGACAATACCAAAGAAGTTTTTTTCTAGATGAATGTCGAAGCCATCAATCTTAGCTACAGGATATGATAAAGTAGTATCATGAGGAAGTTGTTCACCACGTTGCAAGTAATCTTTTTCAACATCAACACCTTGCTGTTAAAGTAATTCTGAGTGAATATTTAACAAAATATTACAAATTTTTAACCTAAATAATAACTATTACTTTTTTCCATTTCTACACAATTAAATTTCCTTTTAGTATTATTACAAACTAAGCTTAAAACTTACTTACTTACCACTACTCAACTCTCAAGACTTGCACCACAAACAAACATTACTTATAAATTGAAATGGATAATTATAAATTTTATATCTTATAAGAATATTGTATGAGTAAAGTCTGATTTTCCTCCACAATTTTCATAAATCTCATAAATTAATTTGCATAATTCCAAAGCTTTGCACGTGTGAATTCAGCAACAGAGCAGATCTGTTTGATTTAAAGTTTTCGATCAAAAATCGAAAAAAGTCAAACTTTTTTGTTTGTGAACCTTTCCTATGAGTCAATTTATGAGAATTTTCATCATTATTGATTGTCCTGCGATTTGTTGTTAAAATAAATGCTTACTACAGTATTTATTGTAGTTTTATGCTAATAATTATACGTACTTGTCACGCATAATTTTCTAATAAAAAAATACTATTTACCTTGAAGAGTTTTAGAGCTATGTTCATATCACAATAAGGTGAACAGAAATTCTTATATATAACAGGTTGATTATTGTACATTACGCTGTGATTACTCATCAAATAATTTGTTAAACGTTCAATTTCATCTAAACAATCATCACGTAACATTGATCCGTTATCTTTAGCTGTTAGCAATACAGCTGTAACGATAGGATCACCTGCAAGATATTGTACATATTTTGATTTTAGCTTAAGTAGCACTATAAATTTATAACAGCACTGCAATGTAATGACAGTAAATATCTGTAAGCAGTTGGAAAAACACAAAAAAGACGGATAATATCATCTGTAGTAAAAACTTTTGATTGATTCTCACGTCTAGAATCAAGGCCAACTAAATGCTTGCTTATGTGATCTACGTGATAATATTTGACGTTTATTTTTATGTTTAGAAATATTTTCACGTAATCAATAACTGAAATTTTACTAAATAAAACATTAACTGTTTCTTGACTACCAGAATTATGCAAAAAATTTTGCTTGAATTTTTATTTTTAGATAAAAAAAAATTGCTAAAGTTTCATTTACTTTACGATCATTTATTGTTTTCAAAACTTATCGAAATTTTCAGTCATTATGTCAACAAAGAGTAAATAAAAATTATTAATTTTTTTGTTTGGAAAAACTCCTACTATTATTATGATTATGATTATTATTATCAATATCAGTATTACTAGTATTTCTAGTATTTTTACAACTATTATTGAAATATTCATTATCGATAATAAAAAGAATAATTTCATGATTTTTGCAGGAAAAAATTAATTACCTGTAGTATTCCAAAATTCTCGAAGAACATCCATTTCATGTCTAGATGGTGCATTAGTTGGCGTATAACCATCACGTATTCGATCACGTAACACCATTTTAAACATACCCAGTGAAGTTGTTGAGATCATAAATGATAAAAGAATGTACACTAAAGGATAGGAACCAATGCTTCCTCCTAAAAATTATTCAAATTTAATCTCAAGTAATTTTAAGTCTATAATCCTTAATTGCTAACAGCTAAACTTTATGCTAAGCAAACATTTTGCTGAATAAAAATCAAAAATCATCTATGCAATTTTTGGTAACGACCTCTGCTTAATAATCATAAAAAATCATGAACATCTGTTAAATACGTTGATTCAGAATACTTTAATTTGATACAAAGCAACAAATTCCTTATAATACAGATATTAAGGTGAAATGATTAAAAATATTAATAATTATTGCAATACTGAATAAATTATGGAAGGAAAAAAAGAGATAATTTACTTACCCAAAAGACGAAACAAACAACGCAAGCTCAAATGCTTCCAGAAGGACAAAAATTTAATACGCCTCGAATCACATTTGCTACCTGAATCCATTATTTAGCACAAATATAATCACGGTTAATCTTAAAATAAAATCGCTATATGCAATAATAACAAAACTTGACAAACAGCTCTTTAATATTCTCAAACTTTTTGAATCAAAGAGCAAAAATTTTATTTTTTTTTTCATTTTTTTTCATCAGTATCATTCAAATTAAATAAATTTGTATCAATCATTCTAACAAACTTACATAAATACTTAAATACAACAGCACTGTTTAAATAATAACTTAATTTAATTTACATAATAACAACTACTGCTATCTTTTTTGTTGACGATAATAATAAGTGGTGTTATTTTCGAACGAATATCATTAAAATTTAAAAAAATATGTAATTTAGCAAAAATGTTATCAATGAAAAAACAAACGAACTCACAACTCTGATTGCTCATTACATTGAGTTTATTGAACGGCTGGAAAGTTTGATCATCTTGCTTTTGCAAATTACCCGTTAGAGTGACCTCATCATCAGCAGTCTCGAGGTTTGCTTTACCTGACCTGTATTTGACCTCTTCGACCTTTGTATTTTCTTCCTCTCCTTCTTCCTCCAATGATCCATCATTATTCAGCAATAAACCTTTGGCACTCCTTTCCAAATATTCAAATGACATCTTCCTCTCTCTTGGCAGTGATTCGTTGCTACTTAAATTGATCAATTTCCATCATTAATCCATCAAATTGCTTTTTTCTGTTTTAGTTCTGAAAGGTTTCTGCAAGGTTTAATAAGGCAATTCAAAAATAAGCACTTGTTTTCGGTACGATCCATCCTCTCAATAGCATTTCTGAATTCAAAACAGGCAATCAAATTTACGTGAACAGCCAGCCACTCACTACGTTTCGCATGCTTTCAGAATTGTTTACTGTACGAAAATGAAACAGAAAAGCAATAAGTGAAGCAGCTTCTAAATTTCCATAATCATTAAATGTTTTGAAATGCAATAAAATTTGCATATATAAACATGCAAATTTGTCAATAAATGAAAAATTTACGTAAAAAATATATGTACATTATTATATTCATTTAATGTAAAGTCAAAGTTAACTACAAAAAAACTAAAATGTATGACTTTAGAATCCTCAGAAAATGTAAAACAAAACTCAATTTTTAATCATAAAAATGCCGTAATACATATAAATTGTAACAATGGTAGTAATAATAGTGATAATAATAATGATAACAATAGTGAAGATAACAGCGAAAATAGACGACAATAATAATAATAATAATAATAATAATAATAATAATAATGATAATAATAATGATAATAATAATGAAAGTAATAATGATAATAATAATAATGAAAGTAATAATGATAATAATAATGGCATCAAGTAGATGATAATAAAAATGATCGGTGATGATAATAAAAATGATCGGTGATGATAATAAAAATGATCGATGCAGATCATCATACACCAACCACATCGACAAAGGTATTAAAGGCATTTATTTGTATTTATTTACATGTAAACATTTTAGACAAAATAAATAAATAATTTCAACTGCAAGCACTTCAATATCTTAATGTGTAATTCCCATCCACAAATGAAATGTTGATAAAAGTGGAAGTAATTTCCTCAAAATCTAATATCTCAATAATTACAGAAGAAAATTAGTTCTGAAATGTGAACTAACTAACTCTTTACGAAAATAAAAGCAGCACATTAACTGAGGCATACATTTATTGCTGAAGCTATTATTCCTAGCATCGTTTGTTAGCTCAAAATGCGCTGATATTTAAAATGGCATTGAGGATATTATTGGCACAAGTTTAGAAGGGATTCAAATTAAAAAATCTTTGAATTTTAGGCTAATTTCAGACAAACTTAAGAATGATTAAAGTAGAAATATACAAAAACAGAAGAAAAAGTGGAAATTTGAAAGAATTTTTTATCGTTACGAGAAAGAGTGAGGTTGAATATGCAGTTGAAGTAAATTTCATTTAGTATAAAAATAACTGAGTGCGAAAACTAGCGGCTTCTAGATGATTTGCTGAGCAAGTTTAAATCTGATAAAAAGTTTGATATTTTATAGCAATCAAATTTAATGATAAAAATTATTGACTTTTGATCCACGTTCTGTTCTCGTATTAAATTGTAATATTTATTAGTTAAATATTATTATTATACAATGTATAAAAATTTTTCAAAAGCGTACGGAAACGAGTAACAAAGCCAAAAAGTAAACAGCGAAGAAATGAGCAAATAAATATGAGCACACTAACTTTATACCAGCATGCTGATGGAAAATATAAATAAAGGTTAATTTACTATCTGAATTAGTTACAATATGAATTTGTTTACTTTGATAAGTTTCTTTTTTTGGATTCAAAAAGGTCAACCTTTCATTCACATCACTCTCTCACTGATATTTTACAGAAAATAGTGATAAAATTGTTCGAAAATTGGAAAAAAACTGTGGAATCTGATCAAATTCAATAAACTGTGTGGGAAGCAATGCATTAGTTCAGGCATTTAGATGAAAATTATGATAACATTTTGGATGAGAAAAAAATTACTGAAAAGCAGCATTTATTATGCAAAAAAGCACAAAATTCGCTTCCAATTTTGCCATCCTCAAATGTTCACATCAATTTTTGAATTGTGTTTTGTATGAAAATTTAATTCTTAATAAAGATAAAGAGGTTGCTTACTTGTGCTAAAATCAAGCATGCGGACTGAACTGACTAGCTTTTAGATCGAACTAATTAGTAGTCTGAGAGAGATGTACTTCATTAAAATTTCGCACCAAACTGTTCGTGTTTTTTCAATACTGATTGCAAATAATATTTTTTATTATTATAAAAATAATATTTTTTGTTTGCAATCAGTACTTGTAGTAATCAGAAAGTGCAGAAGTAACCTAACAGTTTAGAGAATTGCAAGTTTTTCAAATTAACTTTGATACTCAAAAAGACAACAGTTTAAGCAAAGAATTTGAAAAGGGATGAATTGTTTTCAAAGACAAATCGAAATACTCTCAAAGAATTTAATTTTCACGCAAATGAATTAATTATCAGCTAGATATTTATTAATGACATTCGATGGTCTAAATGTTATTAACATAGTGCAGAGTCTCTTAAAAAGTAATTAAATGCAATAAAGACAATTCAGTTGTGGATATCTCTCGCCATAATGAGTACTTATAATTTTAGCAGAAAAAATATATATATGAAAAATTATCTAAACATACAAGAACAATATTAAGCTTTTAATAAAGTTGAAGTATTACAAATTGTGTGCTATGAATGCTTTGAGATTTCGACTAAAACACAATTACTTTGAGCGATTTTTGAGTAATTACTTCTTTGTCAACAAATAAAAGCAAACACAAATTCCAAAATTTGATATCTCACTTAGATTGGACTAATTATCACGATTAAGCTAATTTCAGAAAATCCGAAACTGCCATCTTTATCTCTGAAGTATTATTTTATAACTTGAAAGCCTTCTTCTCACATGACAATTACCCTTTCTTTTTTCGATTCAGTCATAACTTGAAAAATATTACTGCCATCATTTCTACTTTCTTCTGCTCTTCGAAAATAATTCTGAAGCAAAATTCCAAAATTCTCGGCTTGTAGCTTGATAATGATATTGTTTCAAGCCTAGCAACTAAAACAGATAGTAACAGTTTCGAATAAACTGCATCTTTCTCATTATATCTTACTTAGACTGAGCTAATTAGTTTCTTTGAAAGAGACATTTTATTACAGCATTTCAATTAAATTGTCAATATATTCTCGGCATCAAGAATAAATTTGCATACAAGTCGAATCGATTTATCTCCCTCAACAGAAACACTCTTGCCTAAATTCAGCATAATAATAATACTAATAATAAATACTAATAATAAATAATAATAATAATAATAATAATAAAATTATTTGTCTTGCCTCAATCAATGACTAAGACTAGATAAACTATTTTTAAACTCTTACCTTTGTTCACAGATAGAAACGATATGCTAATGTGGCGGATAAAATTAATTCTTATCGTATAGAAAACGTTTTACACACTTTAGCAAAATAAAATGTCTTTGGATTGATTGACTAACTAACAGACTAACTAACTGATTCACTCCCTCAGTCATTCATTCATGCAATCATTCATTCACTCTCATTTACTTTACTCAATACTACTGACTTATGGCATCAACAAATTTTTGAAATAAATCACACAATACAAAAATTTTTAAATTTTAACGTAAACAATGTTTTTTTGGCACAGTTTGATGAAAATCACGCTAAATTAATTCCCTCACAGAAATTGTTTGTCGGAAATAGACGTGATCGGAAATGTGAAACGTAATGGAAGATATGAATTACGTGAAAGAAGCATCGCATAACAAGTAGCGCATATACTTGTAATATATAATGCTTGAAATAGCTAATCAATTTGAAATAATAGTAATTTAAGAATGCAAATTTGTTCTATCTTAAAATGAATGAGTAAGTATATAATTAGCAGTGATTGTGCAACACTACGAAAGAGTTTTAAAAAATTAGGCTATTAAATTTTGCAATTAATTATGGAATTTATATCAAAACTTTAGTAGTCGATATCTGAGCATCTGTTTGGTGACCTTTTCAACTATGCCAATTTCACCTTTGCTACAATTAAGCTAAACAAAAACAAGCACATTCGCAGTAATAAAACTAAACAAAAATTTGTAAAAGTGAACTAAATTGTCAAGAAATAACAACAAATTCTAATCTTAATTTTTACTGAATAATTGCTGATGAATGGATTTAAAAATGCGCAATTAAAGTAATTTTTATTTTTTATATGGCATTGATTGATTTAAAATACAGTGTTTATTTCCTACAGTCTAATTTTGCCAAACGTGAGATTCAAGCTTAATGTAATTTAACTTGTCTAATTAAAATGCTTAATATGAACTAACTAAATTGGTATTCAGTTGGTAAAGTAATAGCTTGAAATGTATAGTAGAAGCACAGTAAGTGTGTAGTCTGAAACGAACAGTCTAAAATAGAGAGAGCGAAAATTTAATCTCTAAGAAAATAGCCTAAAAGTAAAGCATAAAATATTTAGCCTTAAAAATTAGCAGCTTTAAATAGTTTGGCTGAGATGAAATAATTCGATCTGTTACTTCTTTCCATGTGCTAAGCAAGCATTTATGCATGCATTCTTGTACTCACTGCAAATCCATAAATGAAATTACTTACTTTGTTGTTCATTTTGGTCTTTGAAAAGAGTAAAACTTTCACTTTGTTACTTTTCGTTGTTTACTTTCTGCTTATTGCTCAATTCTTTTCACGTACTTGCATTTTCTCCACACTTACGCTTACGCTTACTGACTTCTATCATACAAATCCTTTTCCTTCTTATCTGCTTAATCCTCTTATTTTTGCTACGAAATCCTTCTACTTGACTTCTCTTTTAGCTTCTCTCTTTCACGTTTTGCTTTTAGAAAAGGCAAATGATTAATGTGGCAAATTTCACCGTGTAAAAGTTGTTACATTGATGAAAACAAGTTGAAATAGTTAGTGCTATATTCTAATTTTAATTACTTACTGAGAAAAGATGAAGAAGTATAAAAGTGTTAAAAACATTTGCTTCGTAGTGTTTTGCTCAAAACTATTAATAAGTTATCCAGAAATAATTCTAAAAGCTTTCTTTCATCAATTAACAAAAAGGCTTTGCGTTCTACATATGCATTAAATTCTGTCTGTTATTATTCAAAATAAGACGAGAAGTAAGTAATAAATGCTATAGCAACTCTGTGAGTAATAACTTTATGCTAGCACGGAAGACAATCAAAGGCATATCAAGTTTAGCGCAGTAATTGGATTAAGAAACGTACACGTAAGCGTATGAAAAGATATGGAAAACTGAAAAAATTTGCAATCGCTATTGTCAAAATTAAAATTTAAAAATGCTGAAAAAATAATTTATCTTATTAAAAGTAAGTAATTTTATGAACGCAAAAGTTGAAAAACAGTTGATGAGTAAGTTTCCTTGAAAGTGACTATTTTTTAGCAATGAATAGGTAATTTTCCTTCAAAGTACCTAAAATGTGTGGTGCGCATATTGAGAGTAAACCTAAAATCATTTGTAAAAGTCATCATTTTTCACATTTTAACAAGTGAACCTTTACTTTCTGAAATGTTCTATCAATAATTGAAGATGGATTCACGTAATAACTATTTCTACCAGCAAATCGATACGTTTCAAGTAATTCCTTGTAAGTAAAAGTACTTCAATCAAATTAAAAGGTTAAATATAAAAAATTAAGTTAATATTTTGCTTACTAATAATTGGTATCAAAATGAAGAAAGAATAAGATTGCTTTGCTATTTCACTGCTTAATCTTTTTTTGCTGGACAGCAAATCCAAACTTTTCTTCCATCTAATCTTATGTAATACTCTGAAGTTAAAGCCTTCGAGCACTTTCCTCATCACTGCAGTGATCAAACAAACAGTTATGTCAGTCATGATTATTATTTATATAATGCTTAACATTTACTACTATTATTATTATTATTATGATTATTCTTAATTCATTTTTATTAATATTGCATTATTAATAATAATTATTATCATTATCATTACTATGATTATCAGCTAGCTAATTCAAAACAATGCTATCAAGTAGCCAGCCGTTTTAAGCCACAAATGCCAAATCGAATCATCTGTAGATTTTTAAATTTTGCAAACTTATACCAAAAATAAAATACAAACTTTACACAAATATTGTCAAAATGCTTTGAGCAACTTTTTAGTATTTAGTAAGCAATAGTATTGGAATAATTAAATATAATGAAAGTTTATGATGAGAAATTGTTTTAAATGCCACACATCAAAATAAATAGCACATAGTTGTGCTCACAACAATAACAGTAGTAAAGAGTGATAATTCATTTTAGCTTTCAGTTTTTGAAATATTTTTTATGCTTACAAAATTTTAATCCTTTTTCTTTCTTTCTTTGAAAAATGCGAAAATGACAATGTTAGAAATCAGAAACATATTTGCTGCAACAAAAACTTTTTTCGAACAAACTGCTAGACTACTAGAAGAATTCTAAAGAATTGCTTTCAATGTATTCCTTTGAAAATATTATATTTTTTTACAGAATACTTTGAAATTGAACGGATTTGCTTTATTTATACGAATTACATTACTGCACTGAGCAGAATGTTGCCATAGAAAGTTCACAGAGACGAAGAAAGGTTAAGATTTTTCCGCTTACTTATAAACTAATCACTTCGCTAAATGAATTATTATCATTCATTTTCATTTATTTTAGTATTTTACTTTACTTCATTTAATAACTTGACTATTATTCTATCAACCACAATTATTATCACTATAATGCATGAGAATAACTCAGTAATTACGTGAATCACAGCAATATTACATTACTATAACTGACTCATTTTTTCCTATGGCCAGTATTCAATACTTTTTTGCATGTTTGTGAAAAGGTCTAATAGGAAATCTAATTGAGAAAAAATTTTAGCCTTTCAACTTTAACCTTTCAGACAAAAATGCAAGAAAAAAAATGCTAGAAGTGAAAATATCAGTAAGGACAGTGAAATGAAAAATTGAGTGAGTGAGCAGCCAGAAGCTCCACAATAATTTATAATTTACGTTTAAGCGATGCACTGGGCATTTTCGCTCTTCATCATAAGTATGCAAAAAAAACCATTCATACTTTTAGTGCAATGAAAATAGTGAAATTCAGAGTGATGGTGCTGAAGGCACTATTATAGAGCGAAAAAGTCGATTTGTTTATGAAAAACGGAATAAAAATCAGTTTAATACCGCTTTGCGTGAACGGCTCTCTATTTTTTGTTCATTTAATTCTCGGTCTGCTTCTTAAATATTTTATTGATTGATTGATAAGTCTTAATAAAATAATAATAACAATAATAATAAATTTAACTTATGTGGAAGTTTCACGTATATATTGGAATAGAGTAAGCATTATGAATGCTAAAATTGATAGTCTTATCAAAAGTGAAAGTCGTACTGAAAGGATGAGGTTTTGATAAAAGTAATTCTTAACAGTTATGAAAGTGATAATGTTTTAAAAAACGACTATTCTGTATACAGTATAACAATTTAATTCCATAGCAAATAATAACCGATATGAAACTGTTCAGCAATGAATGATTTTTTGTGATTTGTGATTTGTGATTTGGTATCAGTCAAACAGTAATTTACTGCAAAAGTTAGCATCTCTGAAATATGCAAACAGGAATTGACATTGAGTTAATTTAACATATATAAAGCGAATTACAAATTATGCAAGAGTATTTTACTGACTAATATTTAAACAGCTGTGAGCAGCAACTTTTGTGTAGAAGCATACTTTTTTAAGCGTTGAAAATAACACAAGAAAGTTATCAGTGCTATCAAATGTTAGCAAAAAAAGTCTGCAGAATTCCCCGAAATGAATTACAGAAGTGTGCATATTAAGCAGTGAAAGTGGAAATTCATTTCAAAAAACAATAGAAATAAAAGTAATGCAGAAATAATGCCAGCTCATTGCCACAGTGCTACTGCAAGTAACACTTCGTATTGTACTGATAAGCGAAAATGAAATATTCGTGAAAATAACGGTATGGAAAGTAATTCATTTTTAGTTTCACAGATTTTTTAGCTTCTTTACAGCTTTTGCACAGTTAAGTAAGCAATGCAATGCGAATTTTCAACAAAGTAATAAAATATTAATAAAAAAGGAAAAATTGCTATAAGCGAAATAAAGTTTGCTCTAACAAATGTGCTTAAAAAAATAGTTCAAATATTTCCACGTCTAACGTAACTATTGAAGTGATTTATTTTTGCAGATTTAAAATTTAGATGAATTGAGCGGAAATAACATTGTTTGGATGAATTTAAAATGCATTGATAAAAATTATTAATGAAAATTTATTGTATTACAAAGTATGCACACGCTATTACAGTAATACCTTTCTACGAAACACTTTTCCATTGATTTCGGTGATGTACAATTTTAGTAAATTCAAACTTAATCCTTTGCAATCAAATTTTTCTCTTTTTTTTCTAGAAAATTTATTGAATAATTTTGATAAATGCTAAAAATGAAAACAAAGCAAGAAGTTTGAAGTTTTGATTGCTTTAAATGAAAAGAACTGCAATTTTGAAAGTAATAGCAGTTCACATTTGACCTGAAATAACTTTTCATGCCTTTACTTTGAATTAAAACAATCTTAGACTACAAAAGGAAAGCAATTTATGGAAATTTCGGAGTGTTCTAATGAGTTAGTTGCTCGACAGAAACTATTACCTTCTACTCGTTAAAATTTGATCACAAAATTTCACTGAATTTATAGAATAAAAAAAGAAGTAAAGAAGATCTTCATTTCATTTCACGCACTAGACGACAAAGTGTTCTCAAATACATGCCACGTGCTAAACTTCTAAAAAAATAGCAAGATTACTTATTATAGCAATGCTCTTTTCAATTACAAAAAAGCGTTTTTTCAAAATCTATCAGAATTTTAGTTTCTTTTTTGCGTATTTCACGTTTGCTTGAATTGAAGTATTGCGTAGTTCGATGTGTTTATTACAGCTAATTTGTATTTGTCAGCAAGTCATAAATTCTTGAAATACATTAATCTGCAATCGATCTGAATTATAAGTCAACCTTGTTACACATACATCACACACCTTGTTCAGTATAGTTAGTAAATTAAAAAATGATAGGATAGTTTGCATATAAACTTCAGACTTCGTCAATCTCAGGGAAGTACAGATGTAGAATCTGAAGCACTGCAGTGAAGGATAATAAATATTCTAAATTCCTCCAAGAAATTAGATGTCTTTTTTTCTTTTCCATTTATAATTGCAATCTTTTGCCTTAGTTCGTTTACTCAGGTCCTCTCTTTTATTGCGATCTCTGTCTATTGCCTCGCTTGTGTCTATTCTATTATCCACGTTCATTTTCTTCTTTCTACGTGACGCATATTTATTTCCTTTTATACTTTCAGACTTTTTCTCACTTTTAGTGTTTAGTTTGATATGCATCAAAATAGACACTATAACTATATTTACTATTTCAATGCAAGTAAATAATATTAAAATTTAGCGCGCTTGAACGACATTATATATCTCTTAGTTACAGGGTAACAAGGAACATTTTACTTAAATAAAGTCATTCTGTTGCTTGTAGCATAAGGGGCAAAGGGTAAGTGATTAAATTCCATTGAATAAACGCGTATAAAGTATTTTTACTTATTATTGTCATCCAAATAATTCGAGCATAATTTTCGTGCTCAGTAATAATAATATATGCCTTTTTCAGCTTACGAGAACAATGTTTGATAGTTGCTTTCCACCGCTACGAATGTGTTTAGAATGCGTACAAGGGCCAAGTTTTACAGCTACTCAAAGCTATGCTCAATTCCAGAACGAAAATCATGCGGTGAGGTTGGATACGTCTTACATGGGTACGTCTGATTAGCAAAAAAAGTGATGAATATGTGAATTGATTTTAATGATGCGTTAATAATGAACCAAAAATTTGAATGTAAATAGTGTTAGTATTCAAACGGAAAATATTTTTTAATCAGGATTTGAAGACTGCTGTGTGTAGTGCTGTGAAGAACTCCAAATTTGATTGTACAAAAAAAGCATATTTTTTCTTCCATGGTATTTCTTTTTATTTTCAAAAGCAGTTTTAAAAATAAGATATATTGTACAGCAAGCATTATCTTACCCGAGTATAATTATTTGTTGAAATTTGGCTATTTCTATCACTTTTCATTAAATCTTAGATTTATGTTATTTCTCTACTTCATATTCATTCATATCATAATTGACTATTTTTTCTTCTTCAAGCTACATCCACTCTGGATTCAGGAAACGACGTAGTGCTTCTTAAAAACGGTCAGCGGATTTGTGGATCTGGGGGAGCTTTGGGTACTGCTCCGATTGTGCAGAACAAAGCATACTTTCAAGTCAGTATTCAGCAGACCGGTAAATTTCACTAGAGTTTTCCTTAGCTTTTTCTTGCTTTGTCACATGTTATCGATTAGAATCATAAGTGAGTAGCGTCATTATTATTGTTATGAATTTTTGCTCTGAAATATGTCTTTTTCTTGTAATATATTTTTTTACTAGGCTAGTAAATTTCATTGGTAGATAATTACATGTTTGTTTATTGAAATAAAATTTCTTAAGATTACAATATTTCGATTTTATTTTTTATCTTGACTTTTTGATAATTATGAGATACTAATTAATAGTTATGGTAAAGCGTTATATGATGAGCTTTTAAGGGATATGGGGTATCGGACTGGCAACGCGATCCGCAGTTTTAAATTGTGCTCCAGTAAGCAATAATTGCTGGGTGATGAGAGAAGATGGGCAGATTATTGCAAATGGTGAAGTGATGGGAAAATTAGAAGAATCGATCGAAGAAGGGGACTGCATTGTATGTTCTTATATATTTGGTTTTTAAATTAGTCTAATAATAATTTATTATTTCAGTCTTTGTGTAAATGTTTTATTTTAGGGTGTCGCATTCGATCATGTTGATTTAAAGTTCTACAAAAATGGTATTTTGTTGCCAGTGACAATTTCTAACGTTAAAGGCCAGGTAGCCATTGGTTTCAATTTTTTTAAGTTTAGTGAGTTTAACAACTAGGGGCTTTGATTGATATACGCCGAGCTTGACAATCTTCACTTGATAGCCATTTAATTTATGATATTATTTGTTAAGTGATAGCAAGAGTTCCGCTTGACTGTCCCTGCTTATATTTGGATTTCATGTTTTCCAGGTCTATCCAATTGTTTACGTTGATAATAGCGCAATTTTGGACGTTGCATTTCGCTTATTTTCGTACAATGCACCCGAAGGTTATGAAGAAATCATGCTAGAACAAACTATACTCTAAAAGAAAGGATTACTGATCTTAGTCACTATTTATAGTTCTGTAATTATCGATAATGCATGAATTTTGAGGTGTAGTTTATTTTGTTTCTTTTTGCTGAAGAGCAATGTAGAAAAATCAGGTAATGTTAATGAAAGAGCTTTACAACCTGTAAAAAAATTTGTAATATATTTGTCACTGCCATGAATTGCCATTTCAATTCCTGTTTGCATATCTGCATTTGAAAAATCGAAAATCTTTGAAAAAGAAGGAAGTACTAGTTTGTTGTGGAATTACAAGCAAATGATTCATATTAATTACTTGTATTTATCGCTAATTTGTGCTGGAGATCAGTTATTGTAAAATTGCATAAAATTATCTCTCCGTAATTATGCATCAGTTATAAGAATAATTTGTAGTGAAGCGTATTGGTTTCCACAAGTCTTAAGACTTTTGCGAAGCTTATACCAACGAATTTGTTTGTTTGTGCTTCCAAAGCTTAATGTAAGTCACGAGATACAGATTAATGACATAGTATGGGCAAAGGGATTCGGTCTTTGAAATTATAAGGAAATTGTGCTTGGGACTATGGAGTTACTGTGTTTTTCGGTCATGTGATTTTTTTACTTCTGTTTGTGTATTTTTGCTGCTTAATTACTTTCTTGACTGATGCATTTTATCTCCAAATACATATTTTATCTTCTCATATTGTCAAAGCATTTTGTTTCCGTGAAGAGTAAAGCTCACTGCTCTATTTTCTATGCTTAATTATGCCATAACATTTTGGTATAACTAGATATATGGGAAATTAGAGTTGCTAGAACTAAATTAATGTACATTTATATTTCCAGGATGTTTTTAATTCGACAGAAATTCTTCTCTTTGCTAGTGCCAACCAAGAGTTCTCCGTTTATAAGAAGACTTATTTCAGAAACATCTGCTGTATGTATTTTATAGTTTTATCGCTTACTTTCCAGTTTGTAGTACATACCGGGTTCAGCAATTGGGATAAATTATGAAAAAGGGAAAGTACTGTTTTAGATTAGTGTCCTTTCTTTGTTCCTATAATCTTAATATATATCTTTGTCTTAACTTTTTTTTGATTTGCAAAATTACTAGGTTATATTTTCATGCGTAATATTTCCACTTTTTGGTATTAGCTCGTGTAATTCAACTTTTGTAAGTAATTTCACCATCTTTCGGTGATATAGTATCATTAGCTTCGTGAAGTTTATTCTTCTGCATACCAGCAAAAAATACCCCATTTATTAGATTTATTCTTCTATTACCGTTCTTTACTTTTAGAATGATGCAGTTCAGGGACGGCACCCAATGAAAGTAGCGATGATACCAGGGGATGGCGTCGGCTCAGAGCTTCTTGATGCAGTGCAACAAGTTGTGCGAGGCACAGGAATACCTCTAGAGTTTGAAGAGGTTTTCCTGAGGTCACTATCTTGTTAATAAATTTTTTCGAAATGCAGTACTTCGTTTGCTGCTGCAAATCTGAATTTTACTTGGTTTGGGTATTGATAACACTTATCATCTGAGCACTAGGTTAAATTTGTAAGTTACAAAAAGTACGGTATTTTAGTAATGATTCTGTGAATCCTTCAAAAATAAATGGGGTGAAAAGCAAATTATGCACTAATTTGTATTAGAAGCATTGCTATTTCAAATATTATTACCATGTAAATTTTTTTAGCGAAATTCAGCATTCCCGCTCAGTAAGAGTTCAAGATGCAGTTGAAATTATTAAAAAGAACAACAATGTGGCTTTGAAGGGTGCAATTCAAGAAGCTAATATAGATGGTATTGATTCTGATAAAGACGGTATCAATAGAGAGCTGAAAAATAGTCTTGATCTATTTGCTAGCATTGCAAATATCAGAGTTAGTTTGTACCAATTTGTATTTGAAAATACAAACAGTTCTCGATTTCTTAACCACTTGTTTGCTCAGTAGGATCAGTTTTTAAATCTTATTTATACTTTTAGTGATTAATTAGCTCTGAAACATTTTGCAAGTCACCTTAATTATACTCTTTTATTTTTAATGTTGGAAATGTTTTACTGCACATATTTTTCAGACCCTAAAAGGAATCAAAACTCGTCACAACAAAGATTTGGATTTCATAATTGTTCAGGAACAAACAGAAGGTGAATATTCGTCTTTAGAGCATGAGGTTGTTCCTGGTGTTGTTGAATCTCTTAAGATTTCCACAGAACAAAAATCACGTCGGATAGCGAAATTCGCATTTGATCATGCTACGAAATGTGACCGGAAAAAAGTTACAGCTGTCCACAAAGCGAATATCATGAAATTGGGTGATGGATTGTTTTTGAGAATTTGTGAAGAAGTTAGTTTTGTTCTATCTCTACTATATCTGAAAATTTTATTTCTAATACGTACAAAGATGAAGCATTCAAACAATGCAATGTACATTTTTCTTCAAGATATTAGTCAATATTTTTTGTTACCGCAAGCACTTTCAGTTTCTTCCTTCATGTTGTATTGTAAAAAGTAGAACAAAATAAAGCGCCAAAGGAAAACTCTGCTATTAAGCGATCATCATTCAAGAAAGTGTTACTGGAATCACTGGTTCTGGTTCAAACTGTGTAATGTGAAGTTATTATCTAACTAGAAAATTCTACGTTTATGGTTTAAAAGTTTTTAATTGGCTTGACGAAATTCTGACTATCAATTGACGATGAAATTATCATAGGTCGGCAATTGCGGGTATATTAGTTGCAAAGGCAGTGAAGATGAAGTATCAAAAACAGAAGGGCGTGTTGGATAAAGTAAAAAAGGTTGCTAGTGCTACTAGATAAGATTTTGTTTTGGTATATTTGAACACAGATGGAAAGAGTTCAATAAAAGGTGCAACGTTGAGAATCAACTACCTTTAGATAAAAAAACTTGCTGTTAAAATGGTTTTAGTTTTTGACTAAGAAGAATTTCAAAATAATATTTCTTCAAGTCTGCTTGTAGTATTCTTTTTCTTGCAACTTGTCATAATTAATTTGTTATACTCTGAGAAGATTCTGTTTTTTTTTAACTTGAGCTTTTATTTTGTGCTTTAATATCTTTTCTTTAGGTTTCAAAGCTGTATCCAAATATCGAATTTGAGTCGATGATAGTCGATAATTGCTGCATGCAGCTTGTGTCCAGACCTGAGCAGTTTGACGTGATGGTGATGCCTAATCTGTACGGTAATATCATCGATAATTTAGGTGCTGGTCTAGTTGGGGGTGCTGGAGTTGTTGCAGGCCGTTCTGTTGGGCCAGATGCTGTGATTTTCGAGCCAGGTGCTCGACATGCATATCAGGAAGCATTTGGAAAGTTGGTTATTATTATTTGTGTTCAATTTCCTCTGTTAGATAATAATAATCAAATATCCGTCATCTGATCAGGATAATTTTTTAGAAGGCTCTCCTTGACTAATAATTTCACTAGTCTTAGGTGGGTTGTGTTCTGGTTCTTTTTCGAAAAACTTTGCTTGTAAATTTATATCTACTTATATTGTCCATCCTTAACTTGTTTGTTTTTAGACAAATTGCAAATCCAACAGCAATGATTCTGTGTTGTGCTGATATGCTCCATCACTTAGGATTAAAAAAGTATGGTAAAGCTCTTCAGTCAGCTGTTGAAGGTGTAATTAGCGAAGGTAAAGTAAAAACTAGGGATCTTGGTGGGTACTCATCTATGATGGACTTTGTGGATGCTATAATTCATAAATATACTTTGTAGTAATAATCCCAAAAAATTAGTTGTTATTACATTTATTCCCATTATTATACCATTTTTTGGATTATTGCGTTTCATTTCCGTTATAATCTGATAGCTGAACATTGGCATATGCACACTTGTATGATTCTGAAATATGACTGAGTTTTGTATTCACTTATTTCGTAAAAGATGTAACTCAGCACACTTAAAATGCAAATAGTTTACTTATATCTTCGCTTTGTATTTATTTTACCCTTTGTTACACAATTATTCGAATTATTTCAATTTAATTTATTAAAGTATTTATTTAAAATCAGCAATATGATTTGTAACGATCTCTTGCTATGCAGATTCATTCAGTTGTCAGTTTAATTCATGTCTTAAATTCCATTTTATACCTAAATTTAATTGATATTGTAACCAAAGAACCTTGAGAACTATAAAGCAACCGAAATATATGTTTTAGCATTTGATGAACTTATATCTCCGTCACGTGCATCATACAACATGTTTTATGCTACTATTTAAATTGTTAAGAAGTGACAATGAAAATTTGCAAAGCGCTTTTAGAGGAATGAAAAAGTTTGCGATGAAAAAACTATGAAGAATGAATAAAGAAAGTGAGAAGGCTATGTGACAAATTAATGAACCTCAAGTTGAGGATAGGAGTGCTCAGTAATTATGTAACTGTCTTACTCTAGTGTACTGTAATTGTTCAGACCAAAAATCAGAAAGTGATCATTGTTTGGGGTTAGAATTTGTCTCAGGTTTGTATAAACATTCAAATAGCTATTGGCTGTATGGTGTGTAGTTGTGGCGTGTACTTCTGTCGTTTACGGCGTGACATAACTTACATAGGTAAGCATCTTATCATCTGAAATAGCCTTTTTCTGTTCTCCACAGTTATTAATTTCATATGAAGGAAGAACTTCAACCAATTAAGTGAGCAGCTTAACTTTCTCATAGTAGGAAGCTAATGCAAATAAGAATAATTTTGATTGAAATGAATTCTAGACTGGACTTGCAGATATTTGTTGAAAAAATTATTATAACCATGAATGTATAGAGACGAAATATTTGCATTAAGTGTTCTTCGTCACTTATACTAAAGTTCGAAGAGTGTTTGTCAACTTGGGCAATTTGTTTATGACTACTTTGCTAGGAATCCATTATTTTTCCAATTACATAACTTGAGAAGTTATGCATACATAAATAGTTGGCCTCATTTGTGCATTCAAGTTTGATCTGTTTGATTATTAGTGTTATTTAAACAAAATAAAAGTTGGGGTGATTGGTTGAAACTGATATGGAAGTTGCAATTAAGTTATCAGGATTGAATTCATTGACTCGTTGCATGGTAATGTAAAAAAGCAAAACCTAACTCTGGACATGGTTTGAAGTTTACTTTTCAAGAATGATGGCGGGTCAAAGCAGTTTGAAACGAGCTGAATTTTATACAAAATGATTAATTATTTTGCGCAATACATCAATAGTTATAGTATATGAATGTCATTTACGGATGTGGAGGAAAATTTGGAGACGTCAGCGTCAAACAGCGATGAATTTGAGGATGCTCAAGATGAGTTACGACCCTTACCAGAACTGTCATCTGTAAAGACGGCCAGTGTTAGTCGTGATAGTAGCAATAGTCATCCATCTCGAAGTAGTTGGTTGCCTCTTGAAACTGCTGAAACGATTGATTCGATCGTCAGTGAAAATTCTCTGATAACATCTCCATTCCGTTCGCTTCCAAATGCCTTTGGTGTTTCACCACTAAGAGTAAGTGTGATTTTGTCATTCCGTTAAAAACGAGTTTTTGTGCTACAATTACAGTTTTTGCATATTTCTCTCATAGAGCTTATATCTTAAGTCTGTGATACTTTCTGGTAAGTTTTATGTTATTCATGTGTTCGTAAATCATTTTGTATTTTAAATATTTTACCAATTATTGGCTGTGATATAATAACTTTAACTTTATATTGTAGGATTGTGGAGCTTCCGATCGTAGGTGCCGTTTAAATGCATTGCGTAGTAGAATGAGTAATGAATTCGGAGGTGGGCGTTCGTTTTTGAATACAAATGGAGGTCATACTGATGATGACGCGGGTTCAGCAAGCGAAAGTGCTTCGTTGGCATCATGGGGTCGTACTTTGTTGATGCAAGCTCCTTACACGAAAATGAAATTGGTTTATCCGGCTGATACAATCAGCACAAAAGGTTTTCCCAGGTGTCACAGTTTAAGAAAGATTACTATTACGAGAAATAAAAGAAACAAAATAAATTTATTTCATTGCTTTTCTACTATCGTGATTTTGAAGTACTGTAAAGATCCTTGGGTATACTCACTGTGGGTTAGAATATTGTGCAAGCATTTTTGTCTCACTAATTTCTAGAGTTATCAAACAAGTTTACATACTTGTATTTCAGCGAGACAGATTGGCCACCGCAAAAAGTTGGTTATAATGCAAGTAATGACCAATTTATAAATGTGGAGTCATTTTCATTTCTTCCTTCATCACCATTACCACCAACAAAACCATGTCATAATAGTTTTTCTTTTGTAAGATTTGCACCACCGCATAACATTCCTGTACCACACAATATTCCTCCACCACTACCACCAAGAAAGCCATCTAGTAGACTTCCCAGTGCTCTCTCACCACAACTAGTGGATTCAATCATTGGAAAGAAGTATGTTTTTTATCTTTCTAATCTCGGAATATTTGTTTCTTATACTATATACGTTCTGAACATTAAAAATTCTTTTTGTTTTTTTAAATACTCGGTTTTTTACTTTTTTAGAGCTTCGCCTACGAAGGAAGTTGAAGTAAATATTGAGCCGGATCACACATCATCTGTTATGTACGCTCTTTGTATGATATCTAATCTTAAAGTAGTATTGGCATATTGCAGATATAAATTATTAAAGAATAGCAAGTATATATTTATATCTTTTTTCTATCCAATAAACATTTATTGATGTTAAAAGATGTCAATATCTTGTAACATTGCAGTTCTTTAAAAGTATTGGGCTTTGATTAATAGTTTTCAGTGAAAAACAAGAAAAAGATGCCGCTTCCGTTACGAATGGTTTCGCTCGTTTACGTGGGCATGCAAAGACAAATTCGCTTGATCGTGGATTGAGTTTAGCAAAAAGTATGAAGTCAGGTCCATTTCCTCCTCGTAGTGACAAAAGTAGTTCTTTGAAACGAGAATATTCAGTCGATTCACCATCTAGTTCGCCTTATTTATCATTTGATGGAGGGGAAGAAGATCTGAGAAATAGTGATGCACAAGGCATAATTCGTCAAATCACTTCGTCAATCCTTAATGAGCCCCTAAGGTATGCCTATTTTAATTTTCATGAAGAGCAGATTAATGTGTCGCTCTTAAAAATATGCTTCTAAATAATTTCAGTGGATACATCATACAAATGCTCATAAATTTTGAGCATTTTATCTCATGCATTTGAAAATGATTTAAGGCTCATGAAATTAACTGTGCCGTATATATGATATTCTTCATACTCTTGATAGACAAACAGTTTCTCGGAATTCGAAAGTTGGTCCTTAATTTTGTGTCTCAAGCTTTAAATTATTTTTATTATGCAATTAAATCATTTCATATGATTTAGAGAGGAAGTTTCGCTGGTGGAGTCACCTACGCATGATACTCCTAGCAGCCGTTTATCTTCGGTGGGAGAAGAAGTTGCCTGTTCATCTTCAGTTCCTACTTCGTCTGCTATTTTAATTTCAAATGATAAATTGGGGGTAAATGATGAAAAATTGTACAAACTACAGATTGAAATTCCGAAATCAGCAGATGGTTTGAAGATGGTTTGTATTTATCTATATCTGATCACCATGAGAAACTTGTGGTAATAAAATAAAATCTTTTTATCCAGTAAGTTAATATTAAAATGGAATCTTTTTGTCATGTGTTGTGTCATTTATTATATGTTGTAGGGTTCGGAATTTTCATCTAAAAGTCTTCCAGTCGCAGAGGAATTATCTTCAAATCCAGTTAGTCTAAATTATGATGATCCTACTTTAAATACTCACATTGAATATGCAGATCCAATAACACGAGATGTGGAGAGACGTATGAGCATGAAAGGGCATCAGCATATGTCAAGAGAGTTAGTTTTAATTTTAAGGTTTATAAAATATGAGAATTAATATTGTCACAAAAGATATACTTTATTGGTTCGGATATGGCACATTTCCATTGTAGATTGGACGACAGGACTTCACAGTCAGTTCCATCATTGACGAGTTTTGGTCGAGCTGCAGATTTTGTAAAAGGATATGGAAACTATGCTTCTGAACTATTTCGTGGTGCCTATTTGAAAGCAAAAACTGCCGTTTCATCGGGGTAATTAATTTACTTGAAATTACCTTAAATTCAATTAGCTGTATTCAGTTTAAACTATTCAGTACAAGTGAAGTATTTACTCACTTTTTCCTTTTTTTTTGTATTCATTTTCTCTCAGTTTTTGCTTTCAAGTTCTCCCGCAAAACTGTCAAAAGAGGATGATGAAAGTTGTAATGAAAGTGATCATGAAAATCCCTCAGCAGCAGAAGTTACTTCCATTGTACGCTCTAAAAATTCTAAAAAAGGACCTTTTGATTTTGATGGCACGCGCTGTTACCAAGAGCTGAACAATGAACATACGGTTTGATTTTTGCTTTCATTGTAGCATGTTCTAGTAAATTCTATTCGAAAAAAATAGTTCAAAAATGTAGTAAATTTTGAATTAATTTTTTTTAATTCAAAGAAATAAATTTCCGTCAATAATTTTTTCAGTTCTTATATTCCTTCTCATGTTTATATCCTGTTTCAACGTAGACTACGTGTGGGAATATAGATACTGAAAGTTATCGAAAACTTGTGGAATTTGTTGGAGGAAAAATATTTTTTTCAGTAATACATTTTGTGTCATCACCATCAATCAAAAAGGATTGAGTAAAAAGTTATGATTTTATTAATGATTTATCTTAAACATTAGGGTGCTGTTTGGTGCATGAAATTTTCATTATGTGGACGTCTTCTGGCTACAGCTGGTCAAGATAATATTATACGAGTGTGGGTGCTTCGAAATCATTTGACGTATTTCAATGCCCTACGTGACCGCTATAATTCTCAATCCAAGAAAATTTCAATGAATATGAGTGAAAATGTATTACATGATCCAATACAGGATATTGAAAATGACCTTCGTTGTTCGTCTGCCACGGTTATTTTTTTATTGGATTGAAGAAAAGCGTATTTAATAGGAGTCAAAATTTTCCATTAATGAAGAAAAAATGCTTTTCTAAAGTATTGTTCCTTGTACAGTAATGCCTAAATTTCTAGTATGTAATCGTTGTTATCAAATAATCAGTCGACATTTATAATTTTCATTTCTTAGCATCTAAAACCTCTCAAAGGATGAAATAATAAAGAGTTATCGCACTATGAATCCTGGTTCAGCTATACTTTTATTTTCAATTTATAGTGTTTTTGCAATTAAATCCACTGCACTCGTTTAATTTACTTGTAAATTCGAAATAATCTTACATTCATTTTGAAATATGGAGCATAATTTATAAGACTGATTTTTTTCAGTTAGGAGGAAGCGTCGGATCATCAACATCTCAAGATGAGGAAAATCATGTTGAAACAACAGCTTTAATGGCACCCAAACCTTTGTGTACGTACCGAAGTCATACTGCTGATGTATTAGATCTATCATGGTCTCGTAATTACTTTATCTTATCATCAGGAATGGATCGTACGGTTAAGCTGTGGCATCTCTCACGTCCCGAATGTCTTTGTTGTTTTCAGCATATGGATTTTGTTACCTGCATTGCTTTTATGCCAAAGGTATTTGTTGCTTTCTGGAATTAATTCCTTTTGTAAAGTGCGGGAGAAATCTTATGCATATGTATGCAACGTGATGAAATTTTTGCAGTGTTAGAATTTAGATTATGAAATTATATAATTTGTATAATTCATGTCATCTCTTCCTTGATTGGTTATATTTTCAAGGATGATCGATATTTTCTTTCGGGGTCATTGGATGGAAAACTTCGTTTGTGGCACATTCCAGACAAAAAAGTAGCTTTGTGGAACGAGGTTGAGCAAGTTAAATTCATAACTGCTATTGCCTTTGCAAAAAATGGAAAATTTGCAGTGGTAGGGACATGTGATGGTCGTTGCTTCTTTTATACTACTGATCAGCTCAAATATCATACTGTAATCGATGTAAGGTCAAGTCGAGGAAAAAATGCCAGAGGACACAAGGTTAGCAATTTCTCATTATGAACCATGCAATACATTTCAGTAGAAAAAAGTATATGATGCCTTACTCATTTATTCAGGTGACAGGTTTAGCAGTTCATGGGGACAAATTATTAGTCACTTCGAATGACTCTCGTATTCGTATGTATGACCTGCGAGATATGGCTCTTACTTGCAAGTTCAAGGTACATTAAATTCAGTTTTACAAGAATTTTATATTTTTTATTATACATCCATATTTCATTTATTTTTTGAAATTTCACAATGCGTGTGTTAGGGAGCTCAAAATGAAAGAAGTCAAATTCGTGCTTCATTCTCGCCTGATGGCAAACATATTGTTTGTGGAAGTGAAGACCGTTTTATTTATGTTTGGACAACCGCTGATTTGCCTTCATCATTAGCTGTTCGTAAAGATCGTAATGATTCTTGGCAGCGTTTAAGAGGTAGTAAATACTAAATTACACTCACAGTGATAGTTGGTTTTTATTTAAAATAACCCGAGTTTTAACTTATTATCTTTGTTTTATTTAAAGTATTTGTTGGAGAGTGTATTTTGAATCAGTTCACTCACATTTATTTAATCTTTACTTAAAAGTTTATCTTCGATTAATTTGTTTGAGAAAAAGTCTTATTTATGTTTAGTAAGCTATAATATTTTAAAATTTTGGTAGTGATCAGTGTATTCTAACAATGTCATTTGTTTTCTGTAACATTTGAAATGAATGTTAATAAAAAATTTTATTTTAGAATCAGAGGAGAATTAAATCATGTGCAATTTTAAATTTATTTCCTGCTAAATTATATTTTTCAGGCCATTCAGCATGTGTGACAGTAGCTATATTTGCACCACGTCCACAATTATTCTTAAACCTCCTGGAGCAACGACGTAGTGGAGATGATAAGACGGAGCAATCAAAATCTAGCAAGAATACTTCAGATCGACAAATTCATGGTGATGTTATCATTTCCGCTGATTTAAGTGGTTCAATTCGCATTTTCGTCAATCGTACGAGAATTAAAGCTGGGGCGTCAAATTTTTTTCCTACTGATTAGTTTTTGGCAGAAAGTTACTTTTTTTGAGTCTATTTCGAAACTACATAATTAAAAAATTGTTTTTTTCTCTGAAACTGAAGCACGATTCGGATAGCTGTATTTGATTTTAAAGCTATTTCAGGATTTCACTTCACTTCATTGAATTATTGATCAGTTGTGTTTCATTGCATCTTCCTTCTTTGTGTTTTCTTCTAATATTTAAGGAATTTTTCAGTTAATATATTAAATGATTTTTGGGTTAATATCTCAAATGTTTATGAATGTAAAATTAAAAAATTTTTTTCTACGTGTTATTGTAAGTAATGCATCGTTCGTTATGGGTCGTATTAGGAGCATGTACAGGTTGGTTTAGAAAATTTTTGTTATCGATTCATATGTTAAAGCATGTGCATTGTTTCATATTCTTATTCAGATATTCTTTTTATTGAAGGATGATGCTAGAATTACTGAGGGAAGATTCACTGACCACTCATTAGTGTGTTTTGTCTTTTTAAATTTTGAACTATGGTTAGGATCGCTAGATATTGTGTACTGGGATCAAGTTTTTGAGAAATAACTTCTGTAGAATGAACTTTAAAAATTCTCAGTGTGCAAATTATTGGATGAAGAGTTCCTAACTGCTTTTATAATGTTATAACATTTCGCCTTTCAAATTTGCCTATGATTCTATCTCTTCACTTCTTGAAAAATGTCGATATCGAAATTGTTTATTAGATTATTCCAAAATTCCTAGTAATAGTTTTGTTTTGATTACGAGTATCCTTCTGTGATTGTGCCTTATTAGAATAAAGTAATTTTTTGACGACTATGATTCTTTTTTCACGTGAGTGGCTGCAACACCCTAACTATCACAATTCTAAATATGTTGTGACTGGTAGTAACGGCTTCTAAAGATAATTTTGTTTTCTAGAGGCGATCTGAGTCATTTGTCTAATTTTCTTTCCTTTTATCAAGCACGTAGTTTGAAAATTTCAAACTTTCGCTTTCTAGTTCATCAGGCTTTAAATTTAATTTTTGCCAACATATGATTTACTTTCAGGGATAAAGGCTTAAACGTAAAGCTATTCTTTTAAATGTAAAAGTGCGGACGATTATGGTTTTTCCTCAATTACGCAATAATCCAATCATTTTATTGACTAGCAATTCCTAGACTATTAAAACTCGATGAGTATTTAAACTTTCAGGGCGATATTTTATGTGATCAGGGAACCATGTATCAGGACTGGTAGTAACAACTTATAGAGATCATTTTGTCAATTTTCAAAACAACTTTTAAGATGTATCACTTGCGGCAGTCATTCGTACAGATATCGAAAACCAATCCATTGATTGTATTGTCACGATCCTTAATCGGCAACAAGAAATCAGATGAGCAAGCTGCAGTAGTGCCCACAGAAGAAAGTAATGGCATTTCAACGGAAGAGGTTGAGCTCCCAACTATAGCTGTAGATGCTGCAAGTAAGGAACGAGCCATTTTACCATACAGTCAAGAAGCACTTAAAGTGTTGAAGTGAGCTTTTTAGATTTTGTTAAAATTGGATCCATACAATGTCAACTGTGTTGGTATTTCTTTAGATTAAATGAAATATGTTCTTTCAAACTGGATTGCTCACTGTAAATCTCCACTTTATATCAATTTCAGTTATTTTTTGACTGCTTTCTCAGATATGCTCCAAATTTTCGAGTTTTTCCTGAGGACCGAAGACCATATTTTTGTATCAGAAACTATTAGTTGTTGTACCTTATACTATAATTTTCTTGCCATTGTATCTTATACTATAATTTACCTTTAATATTGAAAATTGTTTTTCATTTATTTGTTTGAATTTTTAACTTTGAGTGATGCATTATTTCTCTCTCCTTTTACATCGATTTTTAATATTTTATTCAATTCTCTTTTGCTTCTTTCATATTAGAAATACCTTATTCATTCATTGGCATTCCATATATTACGAAGTGTATATATTATGTATAATGTGGTAAAAATCGTGGTAAAAAATTTGTGGTAAAAATCGTATTAAATGTATAATAGAATCATAAATTTATGATGAGCAATCCGGAACAGTTTATCAACAAAGACTAGAAATAAGCCATTTATTTTTCAGACTAGATGCGTATCCTTATTATGTAGAACGTGAGTGGTGGAAACATGGGAACAGAATGACATTTTGGTCTAATTGGAAGATGAAGAAGGATGTTAAAAGACGACATCTGCTTGCTGAACTTGGTCCTGATCGTGTGAGATTAAAAGCTTTGAAATCTAACACAATATTGCCGGCAATAATTCGTGATGAATGTGCCAAAAAGTTGCATGAATTTCCAAAAGCCTCATGTCCTAACAACATTTATCATTTATGTCAATTCAGTGGTGTACGGCGTGGTAAACTGAATAGATTTCATCTTCATAGACAAATTTTCAGGTTAAATCCATTTTTTATTCGAAGAATGTTTGTCATACTTCATTTCTCTCTTATTAAAGTCATGGTATTCTAGTTTTCACTTTTTTCAAGTATAAAAGTTGTTAAGAACCAAATTATATTGGACTGAATTAATTTGCGGGAAAGTAATTTTGTAGTGATTATTGTAATCGATTGAAGACTCGAAGTCCCACTTTTCCCAAAAGAATACTGATAAGACTTGACTTATACGACTCAAGTTGCTTTTAAATTAATTACATACTGGAGTAATTGCTTTTAGTGTTTCAGGCATCTTGCGGACCATGGCCAACTGTCGGGTATACAGCGAGGCATTTGGTGATGCATATATTATAAAATTCAGCTAGATTGTACTATTTGTTTGAATAAAAGATAATTATCCTGTCTCGTTATTATTTAATTTTGGCTTATCACCCCGCTACATAAAGTTCTTTCAAATGGTTTCTTCTCTATTTATGTCTGATTAAAGTTATTTGATTAATTTGCATTCTCTTGCATTTTTTGTGAATAAATTTAATTTCAGACCACAAGCATGGCTCACATTTATCGTGTCCTAGCAGTGATTTACTCGTGGATTGAAGGTACTAATTTTGAAATGTGTGTATTGAGGTTAGTCTCCTTTTCTGCTTTATTGATTTTGGCGCTGGATCATATTTTGGCACTCTGACTGTGCTTGTCTCATGATCAGATTTGTTATACTGATCTGTTTTATCAGTAAAGCAGAAAAAAGAAGACTAACCTCATAATTTTCTATTTTTTATCATTTATAAATTTATTATTTCTTGATGGTTTCTTTGCTTTATTAGCATTATTTTTATACTCTGAACAGCTTTTTTAGTGTTGAAGTGTGCAGATGTGCATTTTTTAACTTCCAATCTAGTTGGAATCCCCAGCTCAGATGTTACTTTATCTGCAGTCGACATTGTGGAAATTAACAAATATGTGCTGGGACTTACGGCTAAAGCTCCCTTGACGTGGTCAGGTGAAGAAAATATTTTTAAAAGGCCTCGAGCTTTGGCTGTTGGTTAGTTTCCAGAAATTTGATTTATATTAATTTTGAAAAGAGTCATAAGTTTTTAGACAAAATATATTTTATAGTAATTGCTTGTAATGCTTATAAGCTGCCTTTTTATTCATAAATTACAAAAATCATTTATAATCTTGTAAACTAGTTTACAAGTCTCTCATGTTATTGCAGTAACTGTTGCTGGTGGAAGAGCTCTAGGTAGCTTCCTACCGTTGGGATTCGCTGTGTCAGGAGAACTCGGAAGTATCAATTTTAATGATTTACTTAACGAAAAAATATTTGGTGGAGAAAACCAGGAATGGATTGTAATGAGTGATGGATTGATTAGTGGTTCACAAATCGGCTCTGATGCACAGAATACTTTCTCGAAAATTGAAGTTAAAGTAAAGACCGAACCGCTGCTACAAGAGATCGAAAATTTGTATAAAATTGCTGAGACGGTGCATTAATTGGAATGATAATTTTTTTTTAATTAAAGTTTGTTAGAAGTTCTCATATATTATTAAAAAATTAATGGGTATATCAATCATTTAGACATCAAAGAAATTTTGATTCATCGATTTGTGATGTTTTTTGGGAATTTGTTTTGTCATTAAATGATACATTAATATTATCATTGGAATTTTATATCGCAGTTAATTATGTTTGAGGTTTGTTGCGAAGTTTTATACTTTTTAAGGTTTTATAATTTTAGATCAAGAAATCCGAAATTATTTCTACCGCTCATACTCCAACAATATTTATTATTCATGTTAACGGGTTACCGATTGTTAAGCAAAAATTATCTGTGGAGGAGTATATGCAAGCTGTTGATGAACTAGAAAAAGCAATTAATTATTTGGTCCTGGCTTTAAAGGAAGTGTACGGTGACCGTGTCATTATGGAATTAATAACTGAATCTCAATCTGAGATTAAAGACATACAAAAAAGACAGGTTAAATAACATTATATTCAAAAGTGACAATTCTATTAGTCTTAATAGATCTTGATGGATACACAAATCTCATTTTAGATTACAGACTCATGAAAGTTGAGGGAATTTTTTTTATTCTGTTTCTTGCTCTCTATGTGTAGTTCCTCTTTTTGTTCAAGTAAAGTTTTTTGATCCCAAAGTTTAAAATTGCAGGTTTCTGAAAGTAATACGGAGCGAATAATGAGATTGCGAAGAGAGCTCAATGTTTATCAGGTAAATTATCCTCTCAGTTTTTCAGAAATGCTTAGAGCTTCTATTTTCAATTTTTTCATTTTCATTTTGCATTTAATATCACTAAAAATATATTTTTTTTGCATTTTTTAAATAATAATTTTGGTTCTTGGACCCTTAAATAAGCTAGTTGTGTTTATAGCAATATTTCCTTAAAATTATTTTTGTTTTTTAATTGAGGAAAAAGAGCGGCTGCGAATAATTTTTTGCTTTTGAACTTTTATAGACTGACAGATTATCTGTTTTTGATTAACATATAATCACATAGATATCGAATGTATCAGGTTTCTTCTTTTTCAGTTCTCTTCTTCTAATTATCCAGCGATGTTTGGTATATTTTTGTCTGTCAGTGTTATTCTTGCATTAGCCGTTCTTTTCGTTGTTGTTGGCTTATTGAACATGGATCCGGGAAAAGATTCTATAATATATCGAATGACAACAACTCGAATGAAGAAAGATTGATGAGCATCGGGGTTTTCGTCTTCACTTAAAAACTGGAAACTTAATTTTTTAAATTTAAAACTTTTTGTATAGTGCAGTGTTTTATTTCTTGCCATTGTATCTTATACTATAATTTGTTTTTTAATATTGAAAAACTACAAGGTCTTTTTAGTTATTGTTTCACAATTCAGTTTGATGCTAAATTTTTGGTGCAAAATGAGTTATAAGAAGAAATATACTTTTGCTTCATTTCCTTTGACTCTAATATGTTAAATATTTGTGAAAATAGTGAATATTTTGATATTTGAAATATCAGATGGTATTATTTATGTAATATTAGTTAGCTTTTAGACTACATTCATGTGTTAAGGTCTAGTTTTTTGTGCATATCTTCAGCTGCAGTAAACAAAATTATATATTTACACACAATAGTTCATGTATGTTTCAATCAGCAAACAAATGTGATTTTGAAAAATTCATTTACTTTTTTAAATTTTTTAGAAAGTGATTTTGGTGTTAATAGTATTAAAATGGATGTATATTTCCTTGGGTACTCGTTCTAAGATTCTAGAAATTACCTCTAGTATGTTCTATATTGTCGCTCGATATGTTTATTGATGTTCCGCTTCTTTTACATTTATTGGTACGTGAATGTTCATTACAATTTCGATGCATTGATCTAATCAGCAGAATTTGATTTGCGTGGGGTAAATTCAAATAAGGAATAGATTCAAATATTATGTCGAGCTATACTGCATGAACAGTGAGTGAAAGAAATGAAAGAGGTGGCATTATATTATAATTTGGTTCGCAATGATTTTGTTCTGAAAGCCATTCTAAGTAAAAAGCTTGAAGTGATAAATCAGGTATGGCTTCTTGGCCAGGATATCGTGAAGTTTGAGTCTGTCCGAAAGTGATCGCAAAGTTTCGACTGCACTTGATCAATAAATCAAGCAGTAGCTAAGTTGATTTAACAGTTGTTTTCAATTTCAAGAAGTAGAGTGTACTTCGTAACTCTTGTAATAAGTTGGCATTATTTAAGTTTAAACAATAGAATTAATGTTAAGCTCACATATATTTATTCACCTAAAGCCTTTCACAACAAAGAGATGTTTCGCTTCGGGAACGCCAGTTATTCGGTTCGCAGCAATGTACCAGTGGCGAAGTTGACGTATTCCCTGCGTAGTGTTGATTATGTTTTCTGTGTTTAAGATCTCCAAAGTTTCCGACCTCTTGCTGAAAGTATGTTGAGTTTTGTAAGCGATCCAAATCGTTGAGGTTTAGAAGACTTCTTCCCTTCTCTTTTTGGTGCTGGTAATGCTGGAAAGAAAGATTTGTGCATGAAGTATGGTAGTTTATATGAGAAATGAGACCATAGTGTAGATGGTTCATAGGACAGGTCTTATAAATAAAGCTAATAAATGGATTAAACTACAACTGGTTTTATAACTACTGCTTAAATACCTTTAGATAAAGTCGTCTTAACTGCACTCAGATCAAGTCATTTTAACTGCTTCATATCAGTTCAATTCCTTTAATAACTGACCAATGGTTTGCTTGAAATTGCTTCAATATAAAATATTAGGTTTCATTTTCCAATAATTATTCTAAAGTTTCGCAAAAATCAAGAGCCAAGTGTCCATTATAGCAGCAAACCTCTTGCTCAGATCTTGAAGTGCTTTTCGGTAAGCAATACTGTGCATTCGGCTCGCGGATGATTTTTTTATATGCACCGCCACGTGACCTGAAAGTGCACGTAATGTTTTAACTTTAATTTAAATACTTCAAGAACTTCTCTTCATTGTGCGATGGAAATAGCTTAACTTGCTTGTCGATTGCAGTAAAAACTGGCCCCAGAATAGTAAGGAGAAGATCCCGAACTAGATGAAGAAGCAGTTCGTGCATTACAGATCATATCCGCTCCGTTACATTGCTGTTGATAAGCATTGAAGCAATTGTGTACATTGTGAAAGTCATGATTTGCTAAGGACGGTGCCGTTTGTAATACTGAATAATGCCACAAATTATTTGTTTTTCAATTACTAATTTTAAAAAATACCACTTTGGTTTGACTTGCATTTAATTAGTTAATCATCTATGAGAGTAAATCTTAACTGTAAATATCCCAACAAATGGAGAAAAAAAGCATTAATTTTGATAAATTTATGTAAAAATCTAATAAATATTTCAAATAAAGTACCCGAGGTGGTAGGAAGCAGAATTTGGATCATTTCTAAGGCTGCTAGATGTATCACAGCAAACCATAATGCTGATGATAAAGCATTTGCTGGTTTGTCAACCTGTAGTAAAGTCGAGAGCATGAAATTAAAGGCGAAACGGTGATAACGCTATTATCAAAGGTGTTAAAGGTCAAATTACTCTGATTATTCATTATTTATCAAATACTGGAAATTAATGCAAATTATATATTGTCCTTCTATAGTCGTAAGTCAAAGCATACATAAATATAAGTGATTGCTAATCGGCTGTATGGATCACGCGCACTTTCATCAAAACCACGCTGTCCCGAGATCATGTCTTTGAAAACTTTCAGATCAAAAATCTGAGATTCGATTCACTTTTTATGAATATGAAGCAATATAAATCTTCTTGTTTTAACTTGAACAAGTAATTGCATAATTGGTATTAAACAGTACTATAATTTAAAAAAGTATATTGAATTTGAAAACAACAAAGCTTCTTCTTTATCATATCTTTTGATTGCTAGTATGTTGAATTAGAGGAGGAAAAATGAAACTTGTTTAGAATTTAAAATTTGATCGAATTCTTCCAGCATGCATTTAAATTAATTTCTTAAACAAACAGAACATGCTAGGACTGCCATTTAACCTTAATTGGATTCTGTTGCACACTTTGTTCACCTAATATTCCACTTGTAATAACATTGTTTTCCGATGATTTGATCCAAACGTTGCCTGAGTCATCAATCTTTATCTTTACTCCCTGAAAGCGAAAACTTTGATTCTTCTGAAAATACTCTTGTTTCAGCTTACTTTTGTAGACCATTAAAAATAGATAAAAATAGCAACAAAATTGCAATAGTCAATTTATTTTTTTAGTGCAATGCTATTTGATAAAAATAATAATAATTAATTAATGAGTAAATAAAATGTAGAGGTTAGTTTTAATTTAATAAGTAATAATAATAATAATATAATAATAATAATAATAATAATAATAATA